AACTTATGAAGGACGGAAAATAGGACTGATATTGCTACAGAGTAAAAGGCACCTAGTCGGTTTGGTATTATAAGATAATCAGATCCAATGACGATTATAGCCCTATTCCCAAATACAAGAGAACCGGAATGAATCATACAAATCCAATATTTGCTATACCAATTAAAAATATAAATTACCATATAATTAAATAATGAGTTGAATGTTTTCGTAGCATCAGATCCTTTTCACGATCTTCAAAAAGCGGTACACGATCTTTTGCGATCCAAAAAATATTTTTTTTTGTTAAATTTCAATTCTTTGCAAAATTTATGATTATGCTAACACAAAATAACTGTAAGAACCATTTGAATCTTTAAAATGGAATGACATTTTTCAAAGAAAAGTTGTTTAGTCATTCGAATTATGAAAAAATATTGTCTGTTTACATATTTAATATCATTGAAATGTCGAGGAGCAATCTGCCTTTTGTAGTTTTGTAAGAACAGTTCACTTTTAAACCTTGATTTTCTCGGATACTGATCATTATATGCTGAACAATTTTGACAGACAGTTTAATTTTTTTTTGTAATTTGTCCGTATATAGATTAGTAGTTGACCTTGCATATGTCTTCTCGATAAGACTGAATTCACGATCCTATACCAGAGCTTTCACGATCAAATCGTAATACTTGACCACCGTTAGGTATTCTTTCACGATCTTTTTTCTCGATAAACCGAATGACACCCGTGATCTGTAAGCCAATCTGGTTGGCGTATATGTTTAATTCTTTTAACTTTGACAGGCGCGTGTCTGTTAATAACTGACAGAAAAGGTTTATACCACATGTCAGTGGCAGATTGAATGTCACTTATTTGTTCTATTTGAGCAAAATTTGTCTTATTTAAATCCTCCAAAAAATTGTTTTCATTAAAGTTTTTGAAACATCGATACCGAATTTGTTTATGTTGTAAGCTTGGGATATTTTTTTGGTTTATTTTTCTCGTTATGCATACTGGATAGTGATCACTAAGGGCTATTTTGGGGACATTTGTTTCAACTATATTTTCAGGGTGGTTAGTATAATAAAAGTTAACATGATCAATGATAGTACTTGATGTTGATGTGATACGTGTAGGAGTATCAATTAATTGTACAATAGATTGTGTATATGTAAAAGATTTCCCCATTTATTGTTCAAGCACCCCCTGTAAAATCGATATTGATATCGCCCATTATTATGATTTCTAGTTCTAATTCATTTGCCTTCTTAATTTCCTTTTCAAATTCATCAATCCACTATTGTGGCATATAAGGAGGTCTGTAGATAAAACATATTATCGTTTTAGTAAAGTATTATCTTTGATGAGTATTTATAATTTCTTCACAAATATTTCGAAACGATAATTGAACATCATTCAATTGAATTTAGAAAAAAAATGAACTATATAAAAACAGTTATTTATTTGTAAATGATTGTTTCACTTTCACTTTATATATAGTATTTCTTACTATGACGTGCACAGAAATTTATGGAGAAAAGGTGAAGGGAACAAGCCTCAAATTTGATAGGGAAAAAAATGGATAAAAAAATGATAAATGTAGAATAAGTCACAAATCTGATAGAAAAAAAGGTCAATGTTTTTTTTTGCAAATCATAAATTTGGTTTGGTGTAAATCTGCTGATTTTTGTAGAATTTTATGTATTTTAAAGTCGAGTTGTAATAAGAGTGCGCATACTGAAATGTCTCACCTGCTTTACTGACCATGATCGATTTTATGTTGAAAGTGTTAAAGATAAAGGTTTTACTGCAAGTATCACCAATGAACCATGAAAATGAGGTCAAGGTCAGATGAAACCTGCCAGACTGACATGTACAGCGCAAAATCGTTCCACATACCAAATATAGTTAACCTACTGCTGACAGTATCTGAGAAACGGGCCTAATCATGTAACTTTAACCTAAATCACTGATCCATGAAATGAGGTTGAGGTAAGCCAGACATGTAGACCTTACAAGGAACATATCTAACAAACATAGCTATCCTATTATTCATAATAAGTGAGAATTTCACATAACAAAAAACCTAAACTTTTATTCCAGCAGTCTCTGAACCACGAAAATGAGGCCAAGGACAACAGATATATGACAGACAGAAACTTCGTTAAAATAAGGCATCTGTATACAAAGTATGAAGCCTCCAGGTCGACTACCTTCTGAAATATAAAGCTTTATAAAAATAGTTTATGCTGCCACTTGATTGTAATCCCTTTCTCATATTCTGCAACTTTTGAAGCAGGAGAGACAAAAACAAAAAAATTTGAAAAATAAAACACTTTGCCAAATGCAGCCTGATACGACCGCAGAGGTCGAACCCTGAACAGTTGAGGCAAGTTTGGACACAATATTCAAGGTTGATACTGTCTGAATTTGGATTGTGATCAAATTTTTGACATAATATAGGTCTCTGACACAAAATAAATGTGGTCTAAGATCTTTAAAATTTGAAATGGGACATTTAATTTACCTAAAATTGAGAATGGAAATGGGGAATGTGTCAAAGAGACAAAAACCCGACCATAGAACAGACAACAGCCGAAGGCCACCAATGGGTCTTCAATGCAGCGAGAAACTCCCGCACCCGGAGGCGTCCTTCAGCTGGCCCCTAAACAAATATGTATACTAGTTCAGTGATAATGGACGCCATACTAAACTCCAAATTATACACAAGAAACTAAAATTAAAAATGATACAAGACTAACAAAGGCCAGAGGCTCCTGACTTGGGACAGGCGCAAAAATGCGGCGGGGTTAAACATGTTTTTTGAGATCTCAACCCTCCCCCTATACCTCTAGCCAATGTAGAAAAAACAAACATACAACAGTACGCAAAGTAAAACTCAGTTCAAGAGAAGTCAGAGTCCGATGTCAGAAAAGGAAACAAAAGAAAATAAACAAAATGACAATAATACATAAATAACAACAGACTACTAGCAGTTACTGACATGCCAGCTCCAGACCTCAATTAAACTGATTGAAAGATTATGTCTTCATCATATGAATATCAGGCACAATCCCTCCTGTTAGGGGTTTAGTATTATACCGTCATATAATATATGAGAAAAAATCTGTTATATATAATAATTTACCCACCCTGTTTGGTGTGTATCTCTTGCCATATCAGTATTTCTTTCTTTTATATATAAATCAGAAATAATCAATGTAAAAATGGAAAATTTTTGGGAAAAAAAACCCCAAAAAATTCAGAAAAAAAAAATCCCTCAAAAATATTTGTCCCCCTCAAAGTATGCATCCCGAAAAAAAAATTTGAAAAAAAATCACCCACAAATTTTTTTAGAAATTTTGAAGATTATTTACTTTTCAGGAAACATGTACAATTTCAGAGAGTTCCATAAACTTTAACACAAGTTATTGTCTGGAAACTAGAAAAATGCTTGTTTTTGGCCCCTTTCTTGCCCCTAATTTCTAAACGTTTGGGGCAATTACCCCCAAACTCAATCCCAGCCTTCCCTTTGTGGTATGGATCCTTGTAGTACAATTTCAGAGATATCCATACACTTAAACACAGTTATTGTCTGGAAACTATAAAAATGCTTGTTTTTTGGCCCTTTGTTGCCCTTAATTTCTACACGACAATTACCCCAAACTCAATCCCAGCCTTCCTTTTGTGATATGGAACCGTGTGGTACAATCTTAGAGATCCATACACTCACACACAAGTTATTGTCCGAAAACTACAATAATGCTTGTTTTTTGGCCCCTAATTCCTATACTGTTGGTACAATTACCCCCAAAATCAATCCCAACCTTCCTTTTGTGGTATTAAACCTTTTGGTAAAATTTCATAGAGATCCATTCACTTAAACTAAAGTTATTGTCTGGAAACCAAATTTGTCTTCGGAGGAAGACGACGACACCGCTGCCGCCGACATGATAGCATTATAAAAACACAAATTTTCATTTATGAGCAACAACTCCTTTAAAGAGTCATCTGATAATTTTAGTAAAACAACAGAGTATATACATTGACATTTTGACATGTTTGTCCTGTCAGATTTTCTCTATCTATAACAGTTCAAAAAATATTGGACAATACTTGCATTTTGCCCTATGTTCTATTTTAGCCTTGGTGGCTATGTTGGTTGGTCATTCGGATTATTGGACATATTATTTAAATAAATACCCCATGGATAAATGTGGCCAAGTTTGATTCAATTTTGCCCAATAGTTTCAGAGAAATAGATTTTTAGTAAAAGTTAAATGACGACAACGATGACAAATGACAGACGCCAAGTGATGATGACAAATGACAGACGCCAAGTGATGACAAATGGCTGACGCCAAGTGATGACAAATGGCTGACGCCAAGTGATGATAAATGACAGACGCCAAGTGATGACAAATGACAGACGCCAAGTGATGATGACAAATGACAGACGCCAAGTGATGATGACAAATGACAGACGCCAAGTGATGACAAATGGCAGACTCCAAGTGATGATGACAAATGACAGATGCCAAGTGATGACAAATGACAGACGCCAAGTAATGACAAATGATAGACGACAAGTGATGATGACAAATGACAGACGCCAAGTGATGACAAATGGCAGATGCCAAGTAATGACAAATGACAGACGCCAAGTGATGATGACAAATGACAGACACTAAGTGATGACAAATGACAGATGCCAAGTGATGACAAATGGCAGACGCCAAGTGATGACAAATGGCAGATGCCAAGTGATGACAAATGGCAGACGCCAAGTGATGATAAATGGCAGACGCCAAGTGATGACAAAAGCTAACACTGGCTCTTTGGACCAGGTGAGCTAATAAGAAATAAAAATACAATCATTTATCATCTTATGGAATAAATGAAGAAATGAGGTCTGTCGAGCTGGAAATGTAAGGCATCAACCATTTATTTTAATCACACAATCTCTAATAGCTCCTAAGTATAAATTCAAACCATTGATGTAAATACAAAACAGCGAGTTTGTTTACATGACTTTAATAAAAAATATAATATTTTTAGATTATAACATGAAACAATTCTCATTAAAGATAGTAAGATTTCATTCTCTCAGGATAATTAATCACACATTCTATATACATAAATAAACAGTATCACAGTATTCTTATCACAGTAGGAAAAAAAATCACTAATAATTTTCAAATCTTTGGCAAAAGATGTAAATAATAATGCTGTTCCACATTTTTTAATAAAAATTTTTCCTTATATTACGATCGATCAGTTGTTGTTAAATCTAAGGACACATCATAGTTGAACAATGGAATGAAATATTGATAGAAGACCTGTATGTATTGATAGATAAGATGTTATTGAACAGAACTAAACTTCAACAAGAGTGCACACGCTGAAATGTCTCGCCTTCTTTACTAATCATTGATATTATGTTGATAGTCCTAAATATAAAGCTTTATTACAACTGTCACATAAACTTAACATTAACCAAGTAAACTAAACATTGACCAATGAACCATGAAAATGAGATCAAGGTCAGATGAACCATGCTAGGCAGGCATGTACAGCTAACAATTCTTCCATACAACAAATAGAGTTGACCTATTGCTTATAGTTTAAGAAAAACAGACCAAAACACAAAAACTTAACACTGAGCAATGAACCTTGAAAATGAGGTCAAGGTCAAATAAAACCTGCGTGACTGCCAAATAGATCATAAAATATTTTCATACACCAAATATAGTTGAACTATGGCATATAGTATAAGAAAAACAGACCAAAACACAAAAACTTAACTATAACCACTGAACCATGAAAATGAGGCCAAGGTCAGATGACACCTGCCAGTTGGACATGTACACCTTACAGTCCTTCCATACACCGAATATACTAGACCTATTGCTTATAGTATCTGAGATATGGACTTGACCACCAAAACTTAACCTTGTTCATTGATCCATGAAATGAGGTCGAGGTCAAGTGAAAACTGTCTGACGGGCATGAGGACCTTGCAAGGTACGCACATACCAAATATAGTTGAACTATTGCACATAGTATTAGAAAAAAAGACCAAAACTCAAAAACTTAACTTTGACCACTGAACCATGAAAATAAGGTCAAGGTCAGATGACACCTGCCCGCTAGACATGTACACCTTACAATCATTCCATACACCAAATATAGTAGACCTATGGCATACAGTATAAGAAAAACAGACCAAAACACAAAAACTTAACTATAACCACTGAACCATGAAAATGAGGTCAAGGTCAGATGACACCTGCCAGTTGGACATGTACACCTTACAGTCCTTCCATACACCGAATATACTAGACCTATTGCTTATAGTATCTGAGATATGGACTTGACCACCAAAACTTAACCTTGTTCATTGATCCATGAAATGAGGTCGAGGTCAAGTGAAAACTGTCTGACGGGCATGAGGACCTTGCAAGGTACGCACATACCAAATATAGTTGAACTATTGCACATAGTATTAGAAAAAAAGACCAAAACTCAAAAACTTAACTTTGACCACTGAACCATGAAAATGAGGTCAAGGTCAGATGACACCTGCCCGCTAGACATGTACACCTTACAATCATTCCATACACCAAATATAGTAGACCTATGGCATACAGTATAAGAAATACAGACCAAAACACAAAAACTTAACTATAACCACTGAACCATGAAAATGAGGCCAAGGTCAGATGACACCTGCCAGTTGGACATGTACACCTTACAGTCCTTCCATACACCGAATATACTAGACCTATTGCTTATAGTATCTGAGATATGGACTTGACCACCAAAACTTAACCTTGTTCATTGATCCATGAAATGAGGTCGAGGTCAAGTGAAAACTGTCTGACGGGCATGAGGACCTTGCAAGGTACGCACATACCAAATATAGTTGAACTATTGCACATAGTATTAGAAAAAAAGACCAAGACTCAAAAACTTAACTTTGACCACAGAACCATGAAAATAAGGTCAAGGTCAGATGACACCTGCCCGCTAGACATGTACACCTTACAACCATTCCATACACCAAATATAGTAGACCTATGGCATACAGTATAAGAAAAAACAGACCAAAACACAAAAACTTAACTATAACCACTGAACCATGAAAATGAGGTCAAGGTCAGATGACACCTGCCAGTTGGACATGTACACCTTACAGTCCTTCCATACACTGAATATACTAGACCTATTGCTTATAGTATCTGAGATATGGACTTGACCACCAAAACTTAACCTTGTTCATTGATCCATGAAATGAGGTCGAGGTCAAGTGAAAACTGTCTGACGGGCATGAGGACCTTGCAAGGTACGCACATACCAAATATAGTTGAACTATTGCACATAGTATTAGAAAAAAAGACCAAAACTCAAAAACTTAACTTTGACCACTGAACCATGAAAATGAGGTCAAGGTCAGATGACACCTGCCCGCTAGACATGTACACCTTACAATCATTCCATACACCAAATATAGTAGACCTATGGCATACAGTATAAGAAATACAGACCAAAACACAAAAACTTAACTATAACCACTGAACCATGAAAATGAGGCCAAGGTCAGATGACACCTGCCAGTTGGACATGTACACCTTACAGTCCTTCCATACACCGAATATACTAGACCTATTGCTTATAGTATCTGAGATATGGACTTGACCACCAAAACTTAACCTTGTTCATTGATCCATGAAATGAGGTCGAGGTCAAGTGAAAACTGTCTGACGGGCATGAGGACCTCGCAAGGTACGCACATACCAAATATAGTTGAACTATTGCACATAGTATTAGAAAAAAAGACCAAAACTCAAAAACTTAACTTTGACCACTGAACCATGAAAATGAGGTCAAGGTCAGATGACACCTGCCCGCTAGACATGTACACCTTACAATCATTCCATACACCAAATATAGTAGACCTATGGCATACAGTATAAGAAATACAGACCAAAACACAAAAACTTAACTATAACCACTGAACCATGAAAATGAGGCCAAGGTCAGATGACACCTGCCAGTTGGACATGTACACCTTACAGTCCTTCCATACACCGAATATACTAGACCTATTGCTTATAGTATCTGAGATATGGACTTGACCACCAAAACTTAACCTTGTTCATTGATCCATGAAATGAGGTCGAGGTCAAGTGAAAACTGTCTGACGGGCATGAGGACCTTGCAAGGTACGCACATACCAAATATAGTTGAACTATTGCACATAGTATTAGAAAAAAAGACCAAAACTCAAAAACTTAACTTTGACCACTGAACCATGAAAATGAGGTCAAGGTCAGATGACACCTGCCCGCTAGACATGTACACCTTACAATCATTCCATACACCAAATATAGTAGACCTATGGCATACAGTATAAGAAATACAGACCAAAACACAAAAACTTAACTATAACCACTGAACCATGAAAATGAGGTCAAGGTCAGATGACACCTGCCAGTTGGACATGTACACCTTACAGTCCTTCCATACACCGAATATACTAGACCTATTGCTTATAGTATCTGAGATATGGACTTGACCACCAAAACTTAACCTTGTTCACTGATCCATGAAATGAGGTCGAGGTCAAGTGAAAACTGTCTGACGGGCATGAGGACCTTGCAAGGTACGCACATACCAAATATAGTTATCTTATTACTTATAATAAGAGAGAATCTAACATTACAAAAAATCTTAACTTTTTTTTCAAGTAGTCACTGAACCATGAAAATGAGGTCAAGGACATTGGACATGTGACTGACGGAAACTTCGTAACATGAGGCATCCATATACAAAGTATGAAGCATCCAGACCTTCCACCTTCTAAAATATATAGCTTTTAAGAAGTTAGCTAACGCCGCCGCCGCCGGATCGCTATCCCTATGTCGAGCTTTCTGCGACAAAAGTCGCAGGCTCGACAAAAACCAGAATATTTCCTATTAGGACATCATGCTTCCCTTAAACTATCTCATTTCCATGTTAAGTGAAACACAAAATCGAAGTCAAAACTAGATGCAGATCTGGGATTTTGAAAAAGAGGGGGCCCCCAAACTAGGCAACGTTAGCAGTAAAACAGCTGCAATTAAATTATTCCCATTTATCTTTAAATCATTTTCTAACAAGTGGTCAGACACATCTTTGTCAGACAGTTAGCGTTAATGATTTGATACAAACTAAATGAGGATAGAATACATGGTATTCAAGCTTTGGTTTAATGGCTGATTTGTATATATGCATTACACATTGATTTTGTAATTTTTGTTTAAAAGTAATATTGCATAGACCATGAACTAAATAGAAATGACAATTAGTGGATAAAAACCCACAATGAAACAAAGAATTTTCACAATAACCCTTCATTTTGCATCTGGTAAACAGATTGTATTTACTGTTACACTGTAATGACAGCTGGTCAAATATGATCAAAAATGAAATGTGATTGTATAAATGCTTGGAAGACTAGAACGCTAGTAAACTACATCTGGATCACCCTTATACTACAGCTAATAAATGTAAATAATGTCATCACTTAATCTTTTTAGTGTCATCAGGTGGAACTTTTTTTCTTTCCATTTCTATTTCATATACTCTAAATTCAGAAATTATTGAGTGCATTTATTATTGCAAATTTGTTCAACTTGACAAAAATGTGAGATTAATTATTGTGATTTCAGGAAAATCTGCATTATACATATAGGTATCAGATATCATAGTAAGTTCTTATTATTGTGATTCTCACCCAGACGCATTATTTGCATTAATAAAATCCTCGCAATAATTTCTGAATTTACAGTGTTTCTCAATATTTTCCTCTTTCTTCTTATGGTTTGGAATTGTCATTATGATCATTTTATAATGACATTTTGTTCTTTAACTTAAAACATCTGCAAGTATTTTTTAGAACAAATAGATAAGACTTTCACAACAAAATTGAGGTACAAAAGATTAAAATTATCCTATGATAGTTCACTACCTAGCTGTTGGTACATAGATTCTAATAGGATATGTATTGTCCATTAAATTATCTGGTGGGTAAGGATTTTTTGTTATTATAAAGAATTTGAAACTCGATGTCCTGTAGTCATTGAACTTATTCTTCTGATAGTCTGGTCCATCTGATTCCTTCACTATTTTAAGATAGCTATGAAACAAAAACAAAAAATATTGTAATAAAATTGGTTTAAAAAATAAGTGTACATATTATCTACAACAAAAAGCTGTGAAAGTCAATTGTCAATGACAAATGTACAAATAATGATCCATGAATCTAATTTAAAGATATAACTTTTTGGCTTTATTGTACAGTTCAGTTGCTTTCTCACTATTTTTTCTAACATTTCCTTTTTCTGTGTTTTTCTAACATTTCCTTTTTTCAATTTTTTCCCGAACATTCCTTTTTTCATTGTTTTTCAATGTTTTCCGAACATTTCCTTTTTTCAATGTTTCCAAACATTTCCTTTTTTCAATTTTTTCCCAACATTCTCTTTAAATATGTAATTGTTCTGGACATTATTCAGGGATTAAAGAATCTATCATTCCAGCCATTTTATCCAGAATCAATTTATATTAAAAAAAATGAAATTATATGTATTTACACATGTTATTCTCTATCAATTAGTATAAAGACACTTTTATAAAGATGAACAAATCGATGAAGGGTAGGGTAACTGTCATTCAAAAACCAATCAAATAACACAACAAAACAAGAAAATATATTTAGGGTCAACTTAAAGACCAAACAGTCCCAATACTAGACAAGTTATGAATGAATTCATCAGATACTTCTAAAGATCTGCCATTCATAATAGAAGAAAAGCAGTATAAGATACAATGCAACAACTGATGTGGTTCCTTAAATCTACTTCACAGAATCTCTAAACTTACATTCCTAAAACTGGGCTTGCTTTTCGAAATGCATATCATTTTAGCATATTTATTTTAAAAAATTCTCTCAGCAGGGAAGTCTCTCAACCTAATAAATGATTTTACATGCTATGTTTTGTGGCTATATAAGATAATAAGTCATGTTTTTTTGCTTTAATAAAACTGTTGAAAGAAATTTTACTTTATTTCACTTCTTTTCTAATTTTCAGCATCACATTTACTCCAGAGTATATAATTTTTCGACAGGTTACCTACTCTGTGGTAGAACATTCTGTACTCGGTCAAGTAACAGCAACAAAACAAGTAAAATGAAGTTTATAAGTGCAATTTTGGGAACAATTAACTGTTTTCCTATGATTTCGTCGTGAATAGAAAACATAAAGCCGTTTATTGTTTCCCATAATTGCACCGATTGTTAGCCTGATTTTACTTCTTTAACCTGCTCTTACTTGACAGTACCAGAATGTTCAACCACAGAGTAGGTTATTTGTCCAAAAATTATATACTCGGAAGTAAAAAGCTGGTTATAGGAAAAAAGTCTGTTGGCTTAGAATTAATAAATTCTTCGTCATCTTTTTTTAAAGTAAATCGTTAAAAACATAAATATTGTCCATTCATTATTTTTTCCTGAGCACCAGGAATAATCAAGTTTTTGTGAATAATTCATTTCCTGATTTTGCTAAAGTCAGCTTACCAGCCTTAGGAAAATTTGTTCTTCCTTGAAACATCTCAATTAATGGTTTACCCATACTTACAACATCAATAATAATGAATCAAGACTAGGTGTACATTGCATAATTAAAAACCAACTAAAACTAAAAGGCAATACATAAATGACCTGTTGCCAGGGTTTATTGTTAAAAAATCAAAGTTCCAAATAAACTGGTGCATTACTTTTTGTAAATGTGTAAATTAACAGTAGATTTTTGTATAGGTTTATACATACTTCTCTTCCTGCATTATACTTTTGTCCATGATCAGTCCCATCAATCCTTTCAAAATGTTGTCAAATCTGTCACTAACTGTGTCAAACATATCAACTTCCATCATATCCAAAATAAATGGCTTGCCAAATCTAACAAGATACACAAACATGTTTATTTTATCTGATATTCTAATATGACGTTCTTCTTTCGCTTTGTAAACTAAGCCATGTTCCGATAACAATAGAAAATTGATAACATGTGCTTAACAATTAAAAATGCAATGGCAGTTGTATTATGATCAACCAGAGTTCAAAGAGGACAATTTTGTTGGTGTTGCTCGCTAGGAAATTAAATAAAATCATTGTAAAAGTTAGTTTACATGTGTCTTTTCTTTTTTTAATTGTGAACTGATTTTTTTTTTTAACGTTGTGGCTTCATCAAATTAAAATGACTGTCTTTTGAACATGTCTTATATGTTAATTTTTAAGTTAAAAATTTCTAAATTTCCTATTAGAATCAAAATAATTCTATCATGCCTAGATCTTTGCTAATTCAACATGGATAGCAGATGTGGATCCAGGATTTTGAAAAAGGAAGGCCCCTGACAAGCCAACATTTGGATTGATACTTGTAATAAACAGCTGCGCCATGAGCGCATGATACGCCCGTCGTCTTGTGTATGAATTTTTATGCAATAAGCATAAATAGTTTCTGACATACGGCGTGACATGCGAAAACCCCCTTTTTTTTTTACAAAAAACTCAATATCTCTAAAATAAAATTTTGAATCAAAACCAAAAAGTATACAGATCTTAAGATTAATATAACTAAGAAGTGTGTAAAATTTTAAGCAATAATCATAAATCGTTTATGAGATACGGCGCGACATGTGAAAACCCCCCCTTTAAAAAAAAAAAAATCAATATCTCAAAAATAAAATTTTGAATCAAAACCAAAAAGTATACAAATCTTTAGATTAATATAACTAAGAAGTGTGTAAAATTTTAAGCAATAATCATAAATCGTTTTTGAGATACGGCGCGACATGTGAAAAACCCCTCCCCCTTTTTTTACAAAATACTCAATAACTCAAAAATAAAATTTTGAATCATCACCAAAAAGTATACAGATCTTAAGATTAATATAACTAAGAAGTGTGTAAAGTTTTAAGCAATAATCATAAATTGTTTTTGAGATACGGCGCGACATGTGAAAAAAAACACACACCTGTTTTAGTTACTAAGTCCCGTAACTCAAAAAGTTTTAATCTTATTTTCACCAAAAAGTATACAGATCGTTTGACCATCATAAGATACAACTATGTTAAGTTTCATGAAATTTGGATAAGTCATTCTCAAGTTACGGTGTGACATGTTTACACCGGACAGACAGACGGACAGACAGACGGACAGACAGACGGACGGACGCCGGACATTTGTATACCATAATACGTCTTGTCAAAAATTTGACGGGCGTATAAAAAGTCAATGTATTTATCATATATGAAACTCCATAAGGGGGGAACGGGCCCCATACCCCCCTAAATCCACCTCAGGATAGGTATTACATTGGTCATTATTTTACACCTCGCTTACACTCGGTATAAAAATATAGACAAATATAAAGGGTACTAATGTTAAATTGAGCAGAGCATTACATTGGTCATCATTTTACACCTCGCTTACGCTTGGTATAAAAATATAGACAAATATAATGGGTACTTATGTTAAATTGAGCAGAGCATTACATTGGTCATCATTTTACACCTCGCTTACGCTTGGTATAAAAATATAGACAAATATAATGGGTACTTATGTTAAAATGAGCAGAGAGCATGACAAGAAAGAATTATTTCTTAATTGAAAAATCCCATCACAACTAAGTGGCTAAGGTGCACTGATATAATACTGTCCTTTACTCCATCATTTTGTCCTTCCCAAATATAACACTTGTGCATATTTTTTGTTATGCCTGCAGATACTTAGCAAATTTTTAATGTACTTTCAAAATATTCATCTATAGATCAATTTTGTTTTCCTTCTTGTCATTCTATTTTTAAAATTACAGCCCTTGGATTTAAAAGAATTGTAGAAAGATTTTTGGATATTTGCTATTGTTTTAAGATGACTGATTTTAGTTACAAAACTAACTTAAGGTCTGATTTGATTTGGAAAAATTATTCAAATCATCAAAAAGAAAACTTTTTTTTAAAGTCATTTATCACGAGATAATCAAGGTTAATATTTACCTTACAGCACCAAGAAGTGACAGCCGCACCTTGTCATCTTCCATCTGTTTAGGGCTAAGTGCATTCACACAGTTTGTGTCACGATATCTGAGAAAAGTTGCTGCCTGGCCTGTTCGATCAATTATTAAAGGCCATCTGGAAAAATGTTTTTAAATAAATTTCTATTAATCTCTTGAAATATAGCTAACTTTTAGCAAGAAAGAGCACTTAAATAAAAAATGTATGTGGTTTTAATGCTACGTATATTATAATAACTGTCAAAAAGAGGAAACAACATTATCCCTTAGAATTGTAAGGTATGAATGGTGGGGAATCATGGCATTATTTTAGCTGTCATTCCATGAAATTCTTTACCAGGTTACATGTTTCTAATATGTGTATCCCTGTGTTAAAAATTTACATACCGGTACTTAGCTTGCGTTTTATTCATGGTGTCACAAATAGCACTCTGATTTTCCACCAAGATTCAATGAAAACGGATGAATTTCTATCTAATTTTTGGACAGGAAACGTAGAGTGTATTCGTCATCAAATAACATCTTTTAAAATAATGTTTATGAAATTTTACATATCTGACTTGAATATTTAGTTTGTCGATGCCTGCACTCTATGTTTCCTAGGCCTTAAGATGATTTTCCACCAAAATTCAATGAAAACGGATGAATTTCTATCTAATTTTTGGACAGGAAAAGTAGAGTGTTTTTCGTCATCAAATAACATCTTTTAAAATAATGTTTGTTATAAAATTTTACATATCTGACTTGAATATTTAGTTTGTCAATGCCTACGCTCTATGTTTCCTAAGCTTTAAGATGGTTGAAATCCAGACTATTTGGTCAAATTTTGCAAAAATCTCTATTTTTTACCTAATTGGGATTTAAAAATCAACGCTTACAAATAAAACTTTGACAAAAATAGTTCTATGTAACTTTCACACATGTCTTTTCAGCAACTTAAAACATTTTTTATCTTGAAAAATTGAACATTAATCGGGCCAAATATTAAAAGCTCCTTTATTAATTAGACTTACTTTCCAGAGTCTTTGATTTTATTTCCCACATCTCTAAATAAAACATCATCTAATTCTTTAACCAATACTTTGAGGCCAGGAAGATCATCTGGGTCCTCACCATCTAAAAATATGACAAGAAAATAAATCAGCAAATTAAAATCAATAACAAGAGATTGTATGGATAAAAATCATGTAACTAAACAAAATTGACAAAGCAATATGAAATGCAAACTCATGCTTACTCTTAACATGCTTAAATAGAGAGAACAGTTATTAAAACTTGATATTCTGCTAAGCTAGCATAATCTCTATTGAGGTTATATGTTTTTGAATAGAAATCCTCTTGAACCTGCAATCATGAGTTGAGTCTTTTTATTACTAACAACATTGAATATATATAAACAATCCTGCACATTTTTTTTTCTTATAGGGAAAGAAGGGGGGTTTCTTTAGCATATTATATACTATATAGTTATAGTAAGAATCTACCCAGCAGGGGCGGATCTAGCCATTTTTAAAAGGGGGTTTCAACCCCCTCCCCCTGGATCTAATCTTTGTCAATAAGTTCTCACCATCTCCACCTTTCTGTTGCTCCCTCAGTTTCAGCTTGGCTTGGGATAATTTATCTCTGGACTTTTCGGTGTTCATCTTTAATATTTCTACTTCAGTTTCAGCATCTTGTATGGCCTAGTTAATTAACAGTTAATTAGAAATTACAGATACAGAACATTATATTTAAAGCATATGTTGCTTTGGATGAACCAAAATATAATTTAACAAGAATGTGTCCATAGTACATGGATGCCCCACTCGCATTATCATTTTCTATGTTCAGTGGACCGTGAAATTGGGATAAAAACTCTAATTTGTCATTAAAATTAGAAAGATCAATTAATAGGGAACATGTGTACTAAGTTTCAAGTTGATTGGACTTCAACTTCATCAAAAACTACCTTGACCAAAAACTTTAACCTGAAGTGGAACAGACAGACAGACGGACGGACGGACGAACGGACGGACCAACTGACGGACTAACGCACAGACCAGAAGACATAATGCCCCTTCTACTATCATAGGTGGGGCATTAAAATAATGTTATTATCATTGATAGTATAAAATATAAACACAAAACAAACATGTTACACACAAACTCAAACAAGTATTAACTAATTGTCTTGCATCTAAACAGTTCAAATTGAATTTTATTATTACAGTTAATTTAACACTTGTTAAGTATTGAATTCAATTACTTTGGTGAACCATCTTCAGTCAAATGACTGTACTTTAAATTTACAGAGAGTTTCACCAAAGAAATTTGGGTATTTTAACTCCATATATTTTTTTTAAACAACTCACCCTTTGCCAGAAAATTAATCATTTATATTATTATGCATGTCAATGATTTACAATTTAAGTGCTTTGCAAGAACATCAATCATTCATATCATTAAACATTTAAATGATTATGGTTGTAAATGATATGTATGTGCCAGATATCATAAAAGTGATAACACATACTATATTGAAAGTTTAACATTCAATCGTGATATTGGTAATACAATACTTTCAGAACAGATCAGCATTTTAAGAAATTTGATGATAAGATTTAAAGGTTTGTTTAGAATAAAAGTTAATATCAAATTTGGTTGTAAAAGATCCATGGCTAGGATGTTGTTTATAGCAACCTTCCAAATAAGAGTGAAACATGTTTCTTAATTGTCCATTACCTTTCCTCAGATTGTCTACCTCCTTCTGCTATTTCATAATTTAAAAGAAAAAGCCTACCTGCACCAATATTTCAGGCCTATTAAATCCTTCTGCAACAGCATTATCATGTTCTGAAATTCTTTTCTCTAATTCACAGTAAGCATGATTCAGCTGAAATACAAAATTAAATTTAAGTTCACAACATAGATTTGACTCAATTATCTTGTATAGAAAAGAAACTTACTAGTAATTATTTTTTTTTATGACAAAAGCTAACAAACACAAACTTAATTACTAGAGAGAAATCAGGCAAAAAATAGATAAATGAACATCATCACACGGCTTCTAAATTGATTTATTTTTAAAATGATATATTTTCATGTCAGATTGAAATGATTCCAGTTGTCTTACATTACTGTATTTCTGCCTGAATTTCAGTTAGCTAGAAGATGTACTTGGAAAAAAATTGTTTGCAAAACTAAGTTCAAGGTATATAATTAAGTTAATATCAACCTGTTTCTGCATAACATCATATTCCTGCTGGGTTATCTCCACTTGTTTCTCTAAGCTAAAAATATTGATATTGAATCATGATTGTTGTTAAAAATCATTCTCATTTACTTGTATATTTTTTTTCTCTCTTTTGATTATAAATATCAGAATTTCAAATACCTTATGATAAGCTGTTGCTACTATTGATTCATTTAACATTCATCATTATTATGGATAAAACTCTTAACTCAAACACTCTCAACAATAACTGGAAATTGTAGTTTTTAAAACCGTTAAAATAATGCCAATCTGTTCACATATATTAACATTATAGAAATGAAACAAAATGCATAATTATAGAAATTTTCATACCATAATAAAATACCAAAATAAAACAGGAGGAATTACCACCATCTATAATTTTCTAGCAATTTTTGTCACCAATTGATGAGTTAAAAGACAAGTTGCAATGTGAGCTATTGCTCACTAATGCAAGACACAGCTATAAGTATTCCTTAAACAGGAAGTTGATGAGCTATGAGTGTGAAAAAGCATCAACCAGTATAGAATGCTTACATAAAGCTTGGTACCAAATTTCAGGAAGCTTTGATTCATAGTTCTCACATGAATCTTGATGTCAAATTTCAGGAAGATCTGATTCATAGTTCTCACATGAAGCTTGAAATCAAATTTCAGGAAGCTCTGATTCATAGTTCTCACATGAAGCTTGATATCAAATTTCAGGAAGCTCTGATTCATAGTTCTCACATGAACCTTGATGTCAAATTTCAGGAAGATCTGATTCATAGTTCTCACATGAAGCTTGATATCAAATTTCAGGAAGCTCTGATTCATAGTTCTCACATGAAGCTTGATGTCAAATTTCAGGCAGATCTGATTCATAGTTCTCACATGAAGCTTGATGTCAAATTTCAGGAAGTTCTGAAGCTCTGATTCATAGTTCTCACATGAAGCTTGATGTCAAACTTCAGGAAGATCGGATTTGTAGAAAAATGTGATGAAAATTTCATGCACTGATAAATCAAACAAGACCAGGGTAAAACTAGTAAAAAATACTAACATGGATTCCTCTGCAGCCCTCCTCTGTTTAACCTCCTCCAATCTTTTCTCCTTTTCAGTCTCAAGTTTCTCCAACAATACTTCTGTTTGACTGATGTCCCATTCTTTTAATAACTGAATAACAGCTGCTAATGAGGCTACCTGAAAGTTCAAATAAATACTCAGTACAACAACCAGCAAGGGCCTAAAATAAATACTCAGTACACCAACCAGCAAGGGCCTAAAATAAATACTCAGTACACCAACCAGCAAGGGCCTAAAATAAATAAACTCAGTACACCAACCAGCAAGGGCCTAAATAAATAAATTCAGTACACCAACCAGCAAGGGCCTAAAATAAATAAACTCAGTACACCAACCATCAAGAGCCTAAAATAAATAAACTCAGTACACCAACCAGCAAGGGCCTAAAATAAATAAACTCAGTACACCAACCAGCAAGGGCCTAAAATAAATAAACTCAGTACACCAACCAGCAAGGGCCTAAACTAAATAAACTCAGTACACCAACCAGCAAGGGCCTAAAGTATTTACAAAGTTGATTCTCATCATTTCAATGATGGAGATATCTACAAACTCCATAATTATCAAATTTCATATATACAGATATAAATCTTCGTTTACCACATTCTCACAATCATATTTTTTATCTTTTTTTCCCTGTGTGATCATTTTTAAAATCTATTCATTTGCATATATAAGAGCATATTATTTGTATTAAATACAAATCAAAGCTTTTCAATACAGAAATTTCTTATGGACATGCCGTTTACTATAAGCATGTAGACATATTACATAAGATTTGTATGTAATCAAGATTTTGATTTTGATATGGATGCTTCTGACATACCTGTTCAGGATTTTGTCCATCACTTGCATATATTCTGGGGTCAGCGCCATTCTGTAGTAGCATCTAAAATTATGGATAATAAATATAGATTAAACTGACCACATGAATTAGTCTGTTATTGTACATGCACATCATTTCTTAAACATCAGAACTTGTCTTTTTTATCTTTCAAAGATATTGTGATCTTTCAACTAGTTTCAAGACAGATGGCCTTGGTTGAAAATAAAGAAATTATGATTCTGAAACACGACAGAATTCAGATGATCTAAGCCTTCTTTTGTTTCAAGTAGACTAGCTTTTTCAGGGAAATAATGTACTCAGGTAATTGCTATCCCACAAGGTCCTTTGTAAAAATTTGTTCTGTGGCAACAAGCATATCGATTTAATACCCACATTTTCATCAGAAACAACAATTTAAATAAAATTTTAGCATTTTGTCATTAATTGTGAATTCCGGAATCAGAGGAGCATGATTTCATGGAAAGAGCATTTTATTGTCGTCGGCTGAAGTTGTAGCACATAAAACCAATGTCAAATTCTATCTTCCCTCCCTTTTTGTAAATGATTAATATTTAATGCTGGATTCCAAAATTAAGATGTTGATTTTCATGTTGAAATAATTTGCATTTAATTTCTGTTAAACTAAGGAAGAATTCTAGAAAATCTAATCTAAATTTTTTATTTGTGCCAGGAATATACTGTACAATTCTATTATTACGTAGGCATAGGACAACATCATGTCTTCTTGTACTGTTATGATATTGCTGTATGAAATATACTCTGAAGTACAACTGGTGGTTTTCAATATGGTCATATTGTCTAAACAAATCTGTTTTTTACTGTGCATATTCAAATACCAATTGCTAAAAAGTTTCACCTGATTGCAGTTGGAATTAAGCTCTCCAACCTGATCAACTGGGGAAGGATTTTAGCTCATTGCTTAATTGAAAGGTTGTTAATATGAAGCAAAGTGCAAAGTAATAACAAGAGTGCACATGCTGAAATGTCTAGCCATCTTTAATAACCATTAATATTATGTTGATAGTCCTAAATATAAAGCTTTACTACAACTATCACATAAACTTAACATGATCCAAGAAAATGAGGTCAAGGTCAGATAAACCAAACTGGAAATACATGTACACCTTACAATTATTCCATACACCAAATATGCTTTAAATATAGTTGACCTATATATTGCACATCTAAGAAACAAACTTAACCAGGAAAACTTAACATGAAAATGAGGCCAAGGTCAGATGAATCCTGCCAGACAGACATGTACACCTTACAATCATTACATGGTTTTAATATAGTTGACCTATTGCATATAGTATCTAAGAAACAAACTTAACCAGAAAAACTTAAGACTGACCAAGAAAATTAGGTCATGTCAGATGATAATTGCCAGACAGACATATACACCTGACAATCAATCCATACACCAAATATAGTTGACCTATTGCTTATAGTATTAGAAAAACAGACCAAAACACAAAAAACTTAACATTGAGCAATGAACCGTAAAAATGAGGTCAAGGTTAAATAAAACATGACGGACTGACATGTACATTGTAAAATATTTTCATGCACCAAATATAGTTGACCTATTGCATACAGTATAAGTAAAACAGACCAAAACACAAAATCTTAACTTTAACCACTGAACCATGAAAAAGAGGTCAAGGTCAGATGACACCCGCCAGTTGGACATGTACACCTTACAATCATTCCATACACCAAATATGGTTGACCTATTGCTTAATAGTATTAGAAAAACAGACCAAAACACAAAAAACTTAACATTGAGCAATGAACCATAAAAATGAGGTCAAGGTCAAATAAAACATGACGGACTGACATGTACACTGTAAAATATTTGCAAACACCAAATATAGTAGACATATTGCTTACAGTATCTGAGATATGAACTTGACCATGAAATCTCAACCTTGTTCACTGATCCATGAAATGAGGTTGAGGTCAAGTGAAAACTGTCTGACGGGCATGAGGACCTTGCAAGGTACGCACATACCAAATATAGTCATCCTGTTACTCATAATAAGGGAGAAATTAAGATTACTAAAAATCTTAACTTTTTTTTCAAGTAGTCACTGAACCATGAAAATGAGGTCAAGGACAATGGACATATGACAGACGGAAACTTCATAACATAAGGCATCTATATACAAAGTATGAAGGATCCAGGTCTTCTACCTTCTGAAATATCTAGCTTTTAAGAAGTTTGTTAACGCCACTGTGGCCGCCACTGCTGGATTACTATCCTTATGTGGAGCTTTCTGCAACAGAAGTCGCAGGCTCAACAAAAATCATTCTTATGATTAAGTTTCTGTGTTGTGAAATTTAAAAAAATGAACATCTACAAATAACTTTTTATATATGTTTGAAGGAATAAAATCAGTTTTTATGTTTTTGTCTAAATTGATGCTTATGCAACTTTAAAGGGAAACAATTTACATTGTAATTTGTATATAATCAGCAGAATCATTATATGTTCCATCAACTATCAACTTCATCATAATGACATTTTATAAGTCATTGTCCTAAACATTGTTTCCATGGTTATTAAACTATTATCAGAAAAGAACGCTGAAATTCATTTGTTAGATAAAAAAGTTGAAAACATTTATTTAAAGGGACACAATCAAAGTTGTATTCTGCTGATTATGAGTAATTGTTTGTTTACATTTTACCAAAAAATGTTTTACTCCAAGATGGTACTCAGAATAGAATCTTGTACACCTCCTTGGAAAATACTGTACTGGAATTACTTTTAATCAAAAGTTAATCCATTTAGGTTTAAAAAATCCAGAAAATCAACTTAATTTTTGCACATAGGAGACATTAAAAAATTGACTTTTTCATTAAGTGAAAAAAAAAATATTTGTTTTTCAACTCCATTTTAAGTCAACTTTTAACTCTGCGATGATGACCATATATATTTTCTTGGCTGTTATACCAAGCTGACATTTCTAGTAACAGGAACTGCTACCCATTTTTTTTTAGTTTGTGTAGTCTTCAAGAACTACATGTATAATATGAAAGACTACTGCATGGTACCCTATGGAAAATGCATTACCAATAATTTCGCTTTTGTAACCTTATATACAATGTAAATTATTTCCCCTATAATATCAGCAGATATGGTATTGCTGTTTTGTGTGTACTTGTAATTTTGTTATACATTATACTGTTATTATAGAGTTCAGTATTTTTCCTGTACTAATTTCTATTTTACATTGAATAATAAAACCTTTGTTATTTCACTAAGGGAGATTAACAAGAGTGCACACGCTGAAATGTCTCGCCTACTATACTGACCATTGATTTTATGTTGATAGTCCTACATATAAATTTTTACTACAAGTATCACATTAACATTTATGATCCAAGAAAATGAGGTCAAGGTCAGATAAACCAAGCCGTAAATACATGTACACCTTTAATACAATCCCTCCATTCACAGAATATAGATGACCTATTGCTTATAGTATAAAAGAAACAGACCAAACCATGGAAATTCTATATTGACCAATGAACCATGAAAATGAAGTCAAGGTCATTTGAACCCTGCCAGACAGACATGTACACATTAAAATCATTCCAAATATAGTTGACCTATTGCTTAAGGTATCTAAGAAAAAAATTTAACCAGGAAAACTGAATATTGACCAATCAACCATGAAAATGAGGTGAAGGTCAGATGATAACTACCAGACAGACATATACACCTTACAATCATTCCATACACCAAATATAGTTGACCTATTGCATTAAAGTGTAAGAAAAACAGTCCAAAACACAAAAACTTAACATAAGCAATGAACCATGAAAATGAGGTCAAGGTCAAATAAAACCTGCCAGACTGACATGTACATCATTAAATATTTCCATACACCAAATATAGTTGACCTACTGCATACAGTATAAGGAAAACAGACCAAAACACAAAAACTTAACATTTAGCAATGAACCTTGAAAATGAGGTCAAGTTCATATAAAATATGCCAGACTGACATGTACATCGTAAGATATTTCCATACACCAAATAAAGTTGACCTACTGCATACAGTATTAGAAAAACAGACCAAAACACAAAAACTTAACATTGAGCAATGAACCGTGAAAATGAGGTCAAGGTCAAATAAAACTTGCCAGACTGACATGAACATCGTAAAATATTTCCATACACCAAATACAGTTGACCTATTGCATACAGTATTAGAAAAACAGACCAAAACACAAAAACTAAACTATGACCACTGAACCATGAAAATGAGGTCAAGGTCAGATGGCACCTGCCAGTTGGACATGTACACCTTACTATATATCATTACATACACCAAATATAGTAGACCTATTGCTTATAGTATCTCAGATATGGACTTGACCACGAAAACTTAACCTTGTTCACTGATCCATGAAATGAGGTCGAGGTCAAGTGAAAACTGTCTGACGGGCATGAGGACCTTGCAAGGTACGCACATACCAAATATAGTTATCCTATTACTTATAATAAGAGAGAATTTAACATTCCAAAAAATCTGAACTTTTATTTCAAGTAGTCACTGAACCATGAAAATGAGGTCAAGGACATTGGACATGTGACTGACGGAAACTTCGTAACATGAGACATCTATATACAAAGTATGAAGCATCCAGGTCTTCCACCTTCTAAAATATAAAGCTTTTAAGAAGTTAGCTAACGCCGCCGCCGCCGCCGCCGCCGGATCACTATCCCTATGTCGAGCTTTCTGCGACAAAAGTCGCAGGCTCGACAAAAAGGAGAGAGTTGAGATTTTGTTTAACCCTGCCACATGTTCATGTGCTTGTTCCAAGTTAGGACCTCAACATAGGTTGTCTTTTGTTATACCTTAATGTTTTTGCCATTTTGAGAATTGATGGCAGGTCTTTTTTTCTTCTGTTCAATTAATAGATATTCACAACCTTCCTAGATTTTGGTGATTAAGGGCTTGACATATTGCATAAACACCTATATGCTGTGGAAGACCATATGATAAATCTATATTTTTGTCTCTTGATGTACACATAAAATCCCTCTTTATTCATAATAAATTTATATTATTTTTTTTTTTAATTTATATTAAGAAAATGAACAAGGAGAATATGTGTTCTTACTATATATAAATGTCAATTTTTTTTCTTCAAGTTTCATAAAGATATTGATAATTTTTATCTCGAGGACATTTATACCACTTAACAGAACTTGCTTAATTGATTTATTGCTTTAAATGTTTCTTTGTGCATATGCATGAAACATAGGGTTAAACATATTTGGCAGATGGATAAGTCACAAGTTTTACAACTTAGTAATGTCTTATTACTGCTTTTTGTTTAATTTCATAAACAATTATTGTATCTTTTGCTGTTCCCACAAAATAGTTTTAATAAACTATCTACTCAGAGGCATTATTTTTTATGTGATATCAAAATGCTAATTTTAAAGTAAATAATCCAAAATCTCAATTGAACTGATTTAAACAAAATAAATATCTACAAGAAATTAAATGCATGTTCTGGTATTAGTATGTAGACTTTATAGTTATCGCTTGGCGGCAAAGGGGAAATAACTATATTTTAGAATTTTTTTGTGACCATTGATGGGCAAATTCCGGATGGATATGCTTTATAAGCAATAGTAGGTTAATCACTTGTGATCATGCTTTATAATCAATAGTAGGTTAAATCACTTGTGGTCATGCTTTATTAGCAATAGTAGGTTAATCACTTGTGGTCATGCTTTATAAGCAATAGAGGGTAAATCACTTGTGGTCATACTTTATAAGCAATAGTAGATTAATCACTTGTGGTCATGCTTTATAAGCAATAGTAGGTTAATCACTTGTGGTCATGCATTATAAACAATAGTAGGTTAATCACTTGTGGTCATGCTTTATAAGCAATAGTAGGTTGATCACTTGTGGTCATGCTTTATAAGCAATAGTAGGTTAATAACTTGTGGTCATGCTTTATAAGCAATAGTAGATTAATCACTTGTGGTCATGCTTTATAAGCAATAGTAGGTTAATCACTTGTGGTCATGCATTATAAACAATAGTAGGTTAATAACTTGTGGTCATGCTTTATAAGCAATAGTAGGTTAATCACTTGTGGTCATGCTTTATAAGCAATAGTAGGTTAATAACTTGTGGTCATGCTTTATAAGCAATAGTAGGTTAATCACTTGTGGTCATGCTTTATAAGCAATAGTAGGTTAATCACTTGTGGTCATGCTTTATAAGCAATAGTAGGTTAATCACTTGTGGTCATGCTTTATAAGCAATAGTAGGTTAATCACTTGTGGTCATGCATTATAAACAATAGTAGGTTAATAACTTGTGGTCATGCTTTATAAGCAATAGTAGGTTGATCACTTGTGGTCATGCTTTATAAGCAATAGTAGGTTAATAACTTGTGGTCATGCTTTATAAGCAATAGTAGGTTAATCACTTGTGGTCATGCTTTATAAGCAATAGTAGGTTAATCACTTGTGGTCATGCTTTATAAGCAATAGTAGGTTAATCACTTGTGGTCATGCTTTATAAGCAATAGTAGGTTAATGACTTGTTAGGACTACAGACATAGCATTGTGAAAAGAATTACAAAGTCAATTGATAATGTATAAGTATGTATCACCGAGTAATATTTTACCGTTAAAAATCGTCTTTAAGTAAGCAAGTCTTTATCTGTGGCATTCAAAAAATATTCTATTTTGTACATACATGGTAACTTGCTTAAACATAGCTTATGTTGTTAAGAAAAATGGTGCAAAAACTGCACTATTATAGCATGATTAGTATATGATATTCACTAAGAAAATATTTCTGTTTCTTCTGTTTAAGACAGTTCAAGTGGTGACCCAAATTATTTGGAAGCTAATATTTCATTTGATTACAATTAAACAAAGGAAATCTAATTTAATTCAATTCATATTGCGGACATATAAAGCTGTTTATCCCATTACCAAGACTAAAATAAAATAAAATAAAAATAAGTGATAAGGCTATATATTACATGTAAATGACAAAAAAAAAGCTATGCAACAAATGAAAATAAATTTTATTATATGCCACAAGTTGGCCCACAACCTTTGTAACTGATTGTTTCTCATATCATATAGGAAAATAGTTACCTGGCAAGCTTCTAAATGACCTGCAAATGCTGATCTGTATAATGGAGTTCTTTTGAACTGTCCCTGTGTGTTTGGGTTAGCTCCCCTATCAAGTAGTAATTTAATAGTGTCTGCATTACCACCATCTAAAACAAAGTCATTGATTTCAATATAATTCATTGATTATTCAATCTCTCTGCAAAAATTTTGATCATGGTTTGAGTAAATATTTATGTTAGTGCATCATATCTTAAAATACCAGCCTGCCCAAGAAAAGGTTTATAATCTAATAATAATTTCATATGTAAATTTAGCTTATGATAAAAAAATTGATTAGTTTTGTGTGTTAAGGGTTTACCGCTGTTACAGGGGATCTCTATATAATTTTTTATGTGTTCTATATTGCTGAATTTATCTTATTCTTTTTTAATCATGCAGTAACAACAATTAATATTCTCAACTAAGAATGAGATAATTTTGACTTTTTCAGAAGTTAGACAGTTAAAGGAAGCTTTTTTGATAAAGTAGATAACAAAAAAATATTCCATAATTATCTTGAAAATAATTTTTCATTAGAAACTGATAACATCTTATGTACATTTGTACGTAAACTCTTACTTACTATGTAACCTATTATGTGGTAACACAAATTTTCATAATTTTCTATATTACAAAAGATTATTTTCAAAAATACTATAAAACAATAAATATAGGTAAGCTTTAAAAAAAATAGATAAGATTTTATCAATTTTTAAAAATTAACAAATTTTGGGACTGCTAAAATGGAGATAAAAAGAAATTACTTGCTGCCTCTGATATAGGTGTATTTTCATTAGCATCTTCACATTCCACCATAGCCAACAAATGTCTGTCTCGTAAGTTTTTACCTATCACATCATTTCCTATGTTATTCTTATCATCCAATTCCTTTACCTGTAAAGTTAAAACGGAAGTCAATGTCATGCATTCAAAATATGACCTGACTATAGTATAAATTTGGTCAAAATACAATATGAATTGCATGTGTGAGAATGCTAAAACATCAATTTTCAAATGATTTATGATTCCAAGGGGAATAAATCCCATAGAAAAAACTGATTGTCAATGGTTTTCAAACTCAAAAGATATATTGTTGATATCATCTTTTAAATTTTTTTTATCAAAATCTATCACAAATTACAAGGGTGAGAGGTATTGCAGTAAGTGGAATATATACATCAACAACACAGCAACACAATGACAAAAATAACCAAAAGATTCCTAGTGCAGTTGTCCCTATCTATAAACTGCAACACAATGACAAAAATAATCAAAAGACATCTAGTGCAGTTGTCCCTACCTATAAACTACAACACAATGACAAAAATAACCAAAAGACATCTAGTGCAGTTGTCCCTATCTATAAACTGCAACACAATGACAAAAATAATCAAAAGACATCTTGTGCAGTTGTCCCTACCTATAAACTACAACACAATGACAAAAATAACCAAAAGACATCTAGTGCAGTTGTCCCTATCTATAAACTGCAACACAATGACAAAAATAATCAAAAGACATCTAGTGCAGTTGTCCCTACCTATAAACTACAACACAATGACAAAAATAACCAAAAGACATCTAGTGCAGTTGTCCCTATCTATAAACTGCAACACAATGACAAAAATAACCAAAAGACATCTAGTGCAGTTGTCCCTATCTATACACTACAACACAATGACAAAAATAACCAAAAGACATCTAGTGCAGTTGTCCCTATCTATAAACTGCAACACAATGCCAAAAATAACCAAAAGACATCTAATGCAAATGCCCCTATCTATACACTACAACACAATGACAAAAATAACCCCCAAAAGACATCTAGTGCAGTTGTCCCTATCTATAAACTGCAACACAATGACAAAAATAACCAAAAGACATCTATTGCAGTTGTCCCTATCTATAAACTGCAACACAATGACAAAAATAGCCAAAAGACATCTAGTAAAGTTGTCCCTATCTATAAACTGCAACACAATGACAAAAATAACCAAAAGACATCTAGTGCAGTTGTCCCTATCTATAAACTGCAACACAATGACAAAAATAGCCAAAAGACATCTAGTAAAGTTGTCCCTATCTATAAACTGCAACACAATGACAAAAATAGCCAAAAGACATCTAGTGCAGTTGTCCCTATCTATACACTACAACACAATGACAAAAATAACCAAAAGACATCTAATGCAAATGCCCCTATCTATACACTACAACACAATGACAAAAATAACCCCCAAAAGACATCTAGTGCAGTTGTCCCTATCTATAAACTGCAACACAATGACAAAAATAACCAAAAGACATCTAGTGCAGTTGTCCCTATCTATAAACTGCAACACAATGACAAAAAATAGCCAAAAGACATCTAGTGCAGTTGTCCCTATCTATAAACTGCAACACAATGACAAAAATAACCAAAAGACATCTAATGCAAATGCCCCTATCTATACACTACAACACAATGACAAAAATAGCCAAAAGACATCTAGTGCAGTTGTCCCTATCTATAAACTGCAACACAATGACAAAAATAGCCAAAAGACATCTAGTGCAGTTGTCCCTATCTATAAACTGCAACACAATGACAAAAATAACCAAAAGACATCTAATGCAAATGCCCCTATCTATACACTACAACACAATGACAAAAATAGCCAAAAGACATCTAGTGCAGTTGTCCCTATCTATAAACTGCAACACAATGACAAAAATAACCAAAAGACATCTTATGCAAATGCCCCTATCTATACACTACAACACAATGAAAAAAATAATCAAAAGACATCTAGTGCAGTTGTCCCTATCTATAAACTGCAACACAATGACAAAATAACCAAAAGACACCTAGTGCAGTTGTCCCTATCCATAAACTGCAACACAATGACAAAAATAACCAAAAGACATCTAATGCAGTTGTCCCTATCTATAAACTGCAACACAATGACAAAAATAACCAAAAGACATCTAGTGCAGTTGCCCTTATCTATAAACTTTCAAATTCCAATTTAAATAGTTTGTATTACACAATATCTTTCATAAATTGGCCGAAACGTACTTCTTTAAGTATTTGTAAAATTTCTTCATTATCTCCATCAAAAGCTGCTTCCAACATTCTTTTCTTCCGTTTTATTTCTTCTGCCCTTCTCCTTCTTTCTCCTTCTTCTTTCTTTCTATCTTTCTCTGCTTGTTCTTGTTCCATCTGTACCAGTTTCAGAAATGCCTGAAAACAAAATTTGTAAATTATAAAGACATGTTTGTTATTATGCATTAAATGCTAAGACTCCAAATTTATCTGCTGCAGTCCTTCTGCGCCCAATGTATTTTTGAGATATTCCATTTGTGCCAAATTTTATTTTTGAAATGTATCAATTGTGACATAATTTAGAATTCATTTTACGCAAATTACCAACATGTATGAATTAAGACCATTTTTGAAATGTATCAATTGTGACATAATTTAGAATTCATTTTACGCAAATTACCCACATGTATGAATTAAGACCTATCGTATAAATGTCTTTTTTTTTGTGTCCTTGCGTAGCTCGGAGACTCATTGACATACATGTACATATGTATATATCAAAACTCCTTTTATTCATATTTCAAACCAAAGACATATCCATTCTAATAAAGATTGTATTTACATGTATAAACTCTGTAGGATTTACAAATGTGCAGCCATCTCTAAGCTGATTTGGGTACATTAAACAAAAATCTAAATTAATATGTAGTATATTGATGATGTGGGGAATACATCAATGAGACAGGAACCTAAAAACATAAATAACTGAAAGACATCTCGATGGCAATATACAGTCTTTAAAACGGCAGGTTGGACCATGCCCAATGATATGAATACACAAAATCTCTTGACATTACTCTTAGTGTGGGGTTTCTGTTCAGCTGTGCCTGATGTAATTGTACACAGCCATCCACATTTGGCTGTGCAAATACAGAGCCATACCTTGGAATTACTCCAAGACACATCATAAATTGGAACTACATTAGTAAAATGACTGTAATACATATTGGTAGTCCGAGATTACTCTGATGTCACACGGCCTAGGATTTTGTATGAGTTGTTTTGGCCATGGACCTTATAATCTTATAAAAGGCTGTCAGAGCAATCTCAGAAATCACAAGTAGGAGGTTTGGCATGCTTAAAATGGTTATACCTACCTCTTTCATTTGAATTTACTATAACAGTCAATCACAGATTGTTCCCAGTGATTTAAAAAAAAAACTAGTCAGTAAAATAAATATGACACTGATTTTTTAGAATATACTTTGAAATTTGGTACATTTTTTATACCCTATTCTTATGTATTGTCTTTCAAATAAAAAAAAAATTTTAGGTCTCCAATATCAAATTTTACAATTATTTAAAGAATTTAAAACATTTTCACAAATTTCAATAAAATCAAACTGAAATTCAGGTCTATATATTGTTGTTGAAGGCATATATGATTGATTTGTGATTGATTTATGACGCTGACTCTTCGAGTGAAACAAATACAGGGGAAATTGCCTGTTACCTCATGTTCTAATTTATTCATAAGTTCTTCATAGTCCATCTTTTCTTTTTTCTTCTTTTCAAGTATCTTCTTTGCTCTGAATTGTCTGTATTTGGTCTGTATAGTCCTGGCAGCATCATCTTGTTTGGTCCAGACTTTCTCTTTTGGCTTCGTAGGTACATTACCTTTGGATGGTGCAGCTCCTGGTTTTTTGGCACCTATGAATATGAAATATAGCATCAATAATAGATCTAGAGATTCTCTCATCTCACCTATCCACTTCTAATAAGCTTTAACTGTATTCAAAATGGCTATGATAAACACATGTGGATGGTTGATTATCATAAATTGTACAAATAAAAAAAATACAGCTTGGTTTAACTTTTATCAGAAATGCTAGAATTTAGAGTTTTAAATTGTCAAAATAACATGAAAATAAACTCTGATTACAAATTTAGGAGAATGAAAAAATTACAATTTCCCTAATCTGACTGGAATTTAGATTTCTGATCACGGTGTCTTATCTTGTAACTTTGACGTTAAAATTCACTTACTGGTATTAAAGTGACAATATTTCCAAGATTTACATGTAATGTAGTTTCTTAATCTTTAAGGGCTAAGGTTAGGGAAAAGCTGGACTAATAATCTAGTCTTAAAGTCTTAAAGTCTTAAACTACTTTTTATAAGAAAAAAAAACACCTTAATGACCAATTTAAACTAAAAAAAATCTCAAACATAACACAATGAATGATTGATCCTTCACATCATTTTACCTTTAACATGTTTAATTATCAAATGATAATCTGCTTTTTTCATGAAAAAATTCAAAGTTGTTTTTTTTCTGAAGATTTGTGAATGGCAATACTGGTATACCAGTATTATCTACAATTCCAGAATAAAATTTTGTTCCAGTATTGTAAAAAAGATTAAAAAAATAATACAACACTGGTATACCACTGGATTTTAACTGAAAGGAGAATTGATCCTGTAGATATATATGCCGGATACAAAATAACTCTTATCTGTCCTATACCAGATAACTTTTGTCCTCCAGATGCTGGATCTATATAAATTAGGTTTTAACTATTTATCCATCATTTTGCCTCTGAAGAAGGTCCATGAAGGAAAGAACCCGGTCAGGCTATGAATCATCACCAGGCATCGTTAATTATGTCTTTTTGCATATCCTATATTTTATATGCTACATATTTCTTTCCGATTATTCACATAATTAATATGGCTTCCAAGAGTAAAAGTTCCATTTGGAGCTACTGTGTTTAGAGACCTCTTATGTTGGTATATAATTACTATATTACTCATAAACACTGTGTTTTGAGGGTAAATCTATGTACCCCAGAGAGAGCATCCTAAGGTAACAATTTATGAAAGCCAAATAGCCAATTGTACAAAGTGTTAATTCAGATTTCAGATATTTATATTGTCTGAAATGAAATCCTTATTAGCATTAAATCTTTTTATTTTTAGATTTGAAAATAATTTCTTAAAGATAATAACATAGCCTGACCAGGTTATGTCCTTCATAGACCTTCTTCAAAGGCCGTCCTTCTGTTTGTATGTCCATCCGTCAGTCCAACACATTATTTTCTTCATCCTTGCAGATATTCATTTGATATTTGGTATATAGTTTTTCATCATGACCAGTTACAGATCAAGTTTGAATTTTGTTCCAGTTTGATGATTTTGTGCAGAGTTATGGTCCTTGGACTTCTAAAATTCATGCAAATAATCAGTTTTCTGCACTTTTTATCTTCATGCTTGAAGATATTGATTTGATATTTGTTATTTAGTTTACACCATAAAAAGTTAGATCAAGTTAGCATTTTGTTCCAGTACAATGAATTTAACTGATATGGGACTATGTATTCAATGCCATGCAATACTCTCAGAATGCATTTAATGCCCCTGCCGTAGTGGAGGGGGCATTAAGTTTTACCCTTGTCCGTCTATACGTCCGTCCGTCGGTCCCAAAATTGGTTTCCGTTCTCTAACTTCAGTTTGCCTCAACCAAATGTTATGAAACTTATACACAATGCTTATTACCAAAAAACACAGATCAAGTTTGAATTTTGGTGGCTTCACTTTTACTGTTCTAGAGTTATGCCCTTTTACAAATGGAAAAATTGCTAAATTTTTCGTTTCTGTTCTCTAACTTTAGTTTGCCTCATCCAAATGTTATGAAACTTATACACAATGCTTATTACCACAAAACACAGATCAAATTTGAATTTGTGTAGCGTCACTTTTACCATTCTAGAGTTATGCCCCTTTACAAATGGAAAAATTGCTGAATTTTTTCGTTTCCGTTCTCTAACTTTAGTTTGCCTCAAACAAATGTTATGAAACTTATGTGCAATGTTTATTACCACAAAACACAGATCAAATTTGAATTTTGGTGGCCTCACTTTTACTGTTATTGAGTTATGCCCCTTTACAAACGGAAAAATTGCTGAATTTTTCGTTTTTGTTTTCTAACTTAAGTTTGCCTCAAGTAAATGTTATGAAACTTATACACAATGCTTATTACAACAAAACTCAGATCAAGTACAAATTTGGGTAGTGTCACTTTTACCGTTCTTAAGTTATGTACCTTTATAACTTTATATGCAAGCGGGGACATCATCTGTGTCCCATGGACACAATCCCCATTTATTTTTTAATCTTTTTTAAATACCAGAATACTGGAACACAATTTTATTCCAGAATGGTAGACACAACGGTATTCCAGTATTGTTATCATCAAGTACAGGAGACATGAAACTCATATGTGATCATTTATAATTATTCAAATAGTCTAAACTTCCTTTTAAAACTTTGTCTGTGTTGACATTATAGATGATCCAAGTAGACTTATTAGTCGGTCTGAGTTGACTCGGTCCTAGTTGTTTCTGGTGTCAAGTAGTCTCCAGGGCCGAGTTGTCCATTATTCACTTGGAGTACAATTGGGAATTTCTTGCATAGTTAGGACAAGGATTTGTATAGTGACTTACTATACAAATCCTTGGCTATGATTACGGTTATATTGGAAACAATATTATTGCATGGATTATATTGGAAACAATATTATTGCGTATATTAAAACTGTACCTGTTGCAGGTGCACCTGAGACTTTCTTTCCAGGTGTAACTTTTGCCGGAGTCCCCTTTGCAGGTGTTGATTTCACTGGTGCTCTTGCAGGGGCTTTTGTTACTGGTGGTTTCTTTGGAGGCATGATAATATTGACGACTGCAATGAAATTGTTAACAAACAATTGGAAAAGCGAAGTTTAGCGGCGGAGGAGTATATCCGCCATGTTGTAAACAAAGCTATCCCGCACTTAGTTATCTCAATTTTTGAAAAGCGATTGGATAAAAAGAATTTTAACGTAAAAAAAACAAAAACAAGTTCGGAAGGGAAACGCCACTCCGAAAGAGAGGGGAGTACTGATCATTAGCTGGTGATGAGATGACAGCACATATCACAGAACGATTGAATCAAATACACAAACTTTGTGATAAGGCATTGATATCAAATGGTAAGTTATCAGTTCTTGGACAAGTACTTGTTACAAATGGATAAGTTTTGTGATACATCTAATTTCTAAACCTCAATCTCAGTTCTCCCTTATATATAATGACAGCCCCTTTCTTTAGGTATAACATACCCTAAGGTGAGGAACAATCCCTTTAATGAATAAAAATATTGAAAACAAATATAATTATGTCTATGACTTTTTGCGGTAAAGAACATTCTTAAAATATTTGACACTGGAAATTAAGCAAATAACAATCCATCGATCATTTCTCAAAATTGATATATTTTTTTTTTCAAAAGGCAACAGGGGTTTGAGGACATTACGACCCTGACCCACCCTCCTTATTTAAATACCCCAAATGTGTATTTTTTCAATATGTTATTTGTACCATATGTATACCATTATGCTATAATATATGATATTATACATGTTATATATTTATTCACTAATTATATAATTTTTTTCTTAGCATGCATGTGCAACTCTACTATAGATAGATACATGTATATCAATTCTTTACCTAAATATTTTTTAAAGGGATTTTTTTCAACAAAAAGACAGGCTCTCTGAAAATAAAAAAATTCACCCCTGTACCCCAAAAAAGGTTTTGGGCATTATCATCTATGTACATATTTGGAGTATTTAATTACTAATTGACAGGTTAATTAATTATCTCCCTTGTCTCAATATCCCAGATCAAATTATATCACAATAAATAGGCTTCAGACCACAATTAATTCCCCTTGTTCGTGGTCTAGGAATAGAGTTCCAAAGTATTATATGGGGTATTTCTTCAAGAGTTTTCTTGCTACAATTTCCTTTGAAAAGTTGTCTATTTGAGTGGTCCTATAAGATGCATATATATTGAAATAAATAAAACATGTGGGAAAAATTTATTGTTGAAAGTGAAAGTAGTGATTTGGCCAAAGTAAAAGTATTCAAATCCTACCATTGACATGCTTTCAGGGCTCTCAAAAGAGAAAGCAGAGATAGATTGTGCTGGGACAAGCATATTTTATTAGAATGATAATGGTCTATAAGCAGTAACATTTATTTCATGTTTGAACCCTTTTTAATTTTTTAATCTTATTTGACTTTTACAAAAACAATGCTTTGTTAACCAATGGTAAAAATAATTATGGTCTGAGGCCTAGCATGTGACAAGGCATTATCTCCCTTGTAAACTTGTATAAACTCCATCTTCATTTACACCTAGAATAATCAACCATGGCAAAACGAGATAACTGTTTGCGTGGTAATAAACATCTAATAATTAATCAATCGTCTATCATGATGAATTCTAATTGGTTGTAAATAAAATTTTGCAGATGATAAAGTGTTGAAGCAACTGAAGGACAAATGTTGCTGTTATATTGATGTTTGTAAAAAATCACCAAGTGAAGAGAGTTTGGTAGAGCTTCTGAAACAATATGCTCAGGTAAAACTAGAATTAGAGAAAACTATAACATATTTGACATATTTATGTAGGTAGTTGATATAGAGATCATTATAGCTATACTTAAATATTGTTATGTACATATATATTTGATAGATACAGTTTCTAGACATAATTGTTCTGTGTTTTTACTAGATAGTAACTTTCAAGCATGTGTGTACAGCTATTTATGAACACAAGAGTACAATGACATTATCTTTTGTGTAGGGATGGCTAGTTGTTGTACAAAGTTTTTAAATTTGACCTTTAAAACCTTCTCTGTTTGCATTCAAAATAGCTGAAATTGTTTTAAACAAATATCTGGACATTCTAAGGATTGCAATGCAAGTCCTAAAGAATAATATTTTTTTCAGTGTGTACATTTTAGATATTAAATTATAGTAAGTGAATTAGATATTAAACTAGAGGATAGTGATGGAAGCCACCACAAAGGGCTATGGTGCATGAAGATAAGTAAATTTTGATTCAAATTTAAAAGTAATAAGAGTTTTTCCATTAAACATAGCTTATCCCTCATGGAAGGCAGGCATTATATTCAGGCACAACTTGTATTAGTGATATTGAGTGAACTGAAATGTGGGTGGGAAATACATGTTAAATGATGACCGTATTTATAGTAAAGGGGGTAACATTAAGTGTTTCCATTGATACTAATGATGAAATAATTAAGTCAAGTGGTAATACAGTAATGTCCAATTGTGTATTGTTTAAATTTATAGGAACAGACCACGACCAAAGAATGTCATGTGAACACTTTAACATCTTCCTCATTATCAGTAGTTTGATGTCTTGTCTTTGAATATTGTTAAAATGATTAATCATAAGAAATTGCTTATTATGTTATTAGCACAATTTTCCTGGTTTTCTGTCTAAAGTCTGTATAAAGTGTAAAAAGTAAAACAAACATCAAGGAATATTACTAACAAAACTATGGCTTTTTGATGTTTATAACAATAAACCAATGATAATGATATGTTATTTATTACAATAAACCAATGATAATGATATTTTATTTATTACAATAAACCAATGATAATGATATGTTATTTATTACAATAAACCAATGATAATGATATGTTATTTATTACAATAAACCATTGATAATGATATGTTATTTATTACAATAAACCAATGATAATGATATGTTATTTATTACAATAAACCATTGATAATGATATGTTATTTATTACAATAAACCAATGATAATGATATGTTATTTATTACAATAAACCAATGATAATGATCTGTTATTTATTACAATAAACCAATTTAATGATCTGTTATTTATAACAATAAACCAATGATAATTAACTGTAATTTAATACAATAAACCAATGACAATGATCTGTTATTTATTACAATAAACCATTGACAATGATCTGTTATTTATAACAATAAACCATTGATAATGATCTGTTATTTATTACAATAAACCAATGATAATGAACTGTTATTTATTACAATAAACCAATGACAATGATCTGTTATTTATTACAATAAACCAATGACAATGATCTGTTATTTATAAAAATAAACCATTGATAATTATCTGTTATTTATAACAATAAACCAATGACAATGATCTGTTATTTATTACAATAAACCAGTGACAACGATCTTATTTATAACAATAAACCATTGATAACGATCTGTTATTTATTACAATAAACCAAATTGAATGATAATGATGTGTTATTTATAACAATTAACCAATGATAATGATGTGTTATTTATTACAATAAACCATTGATAATAATCTGTTATTTATTACAATAAACCAATGATAATGATCTGTTATTTATTACAATAATCCAATGATACTGATCTGTTATTTATTACTATAAACCATTGATAATGATCTGTTATTTATAACAATAAACCAATGACAATGATGTGTTATTTATAACAATAAACCAACGACAGTGATCTGTTTTTTATTTCAATAAACCAATGATAATGATGTTATTTTTAACAATAAACCAATGATAATGATATGTTATTTATTACAGATAGTTCTAGATTATACTTACATTGATGAAACCAAACTTGTAGATGAACTATTTCCACAAGACACTTGTAAAGAAAGAATACACACAATATTTGGTAATAAGATTTCTTTTAAGGTGCCATTCTTTTATTAGTATACTAGACTTTTTTAGTTAGCAAAATGTTAAGCCGTATGTTTTTTTAAACATTTATACTTGTTTATTATGAAGGAAATAAAATGTTTCCCCAGAATAAGTTTGTGTTTACATGGCCATTTAGATTTTAGCAAATTGAACTAGCTCATAGAATAATTACAATAGCTATTGTTTTCTGTCAAGTTCATTCAATTGAAACTTTATATTTCTATCTGAAAAACCAATCATTTATTGATTAATTTAGCTGTACAAAAATTTAAAAAAGATTAATGATATTCAGCAATCCCAGTACATACCTTTGGGAATTAAAAAAAAATCTAACAGAAAAAAGAATTTCTTTCAAGACTTAGGCGTATTGTTTCCGTTGTCAATGGCATTGTCACCAATGTTTTAGTTTGTGGTTAGGTCAGTTTAAGGGAAACCACTAGTGGTAGGTCAATGATATTTGGTATGCAGTTGTATTAGCATTAGCACATCTCAATTCTATCTAATAAATGATGTATGATGCCCTCCTTTGAATAGGATGTGGTGATTCTTGATTAACATTAGTGCTTTATATATATAAAATTATCCAATGTAGGTTACATAGTATTGACTAGTTCAGGTCGGAATTTCTATATTCTAAATAATCTAATATAATTGGTTTTTTTTGGGTTATTTTTTAGTTTGGATAGATACAATAGAAGAACTTGTAAAGAAATGTCTTCCAGAAACATCAGTAAGTGTTAAAAAACAGATAAGATTTGTAGTTATATTATTACACTTTGCAATTGCAAGCATGCCTGTACCAAGTCAGGAATATGACAGTTGTTTTCCATTCGTTTGATGTGTTTGAGCTTTTGATTTTGCCATTTGATAAGGGACTTTCCATTTTGAATTTTCCTTGGACATGTTGGAGTTCAGTATTTTTGTTATTTGACTTTTTATTCATAATAAATTAAAATTTGCAACTGTTTTTACCCAAAAGAGACTACCTTATTGATTTTTTATTTGGGTTTAATCCTATTCTCTAAACACTCACACCCTTCCATTGTGGTCAATTTGTATATAGTGGAGTAAACCAAAGTCAGTAGTAATTAATTACAGACTTTCCATTAACAAAAGACAAATTTCAGCACAAATCTATAGGTGAATATAAAAATAAGAAGACATGGTATGATTGCCAATGAGACAACTCTCCACCAGAGACCAAATGACTTATAAGTAACCAACTATAGGCCTTCAATAATGAGCAAAACCCATATCGCACAGCAAGCTATAAAAGGCCCCAAAATGACAAATGTAAAACAATTCAAGCGAGAAAACTAACAGCCTGGTGTAAAAGCATTGACAGAAGCACATTTTATATAGAGTACAAGAGCGCTTTATACTTAAAATGTTCACAGGATCAACGCTTTCACCCCAATAAAATTATAAAAAGAAGCATTCAATTCTTACAATTAAATTATATACTACTATTATGAAATTTATAGTTATATCAAGCCTTCGTTTGTTTTCCTATGCATTGTTGTGACATTGTCATGAATGTTGCATTGTTTTTAGCCAATCAAAAGTACTGATTTTTTTTTAAAATGTAATGTATTTATAATGAAGTTAGAGTTTATCTCTTAATTATTGTTTAAGCATGATAACTAGTTGTATATATAAAACCCTGAAATTATTTTATTTAGTTTGAAACTTTCTATATATAGATGGTAGACTGTTTAGGACATGAATTAGTGGAATGTATTAATTGGAGGAAGGGTGCTTTGTTATATATGTTATGCAGTACAATTAAAGGAGATAGTAACAGAGAAGACCAAATAAATTATGAATTTTATATGGTAAAAATCTATTGTGATGGTATTATTTTTGGAAAATCCAACAGGATAAGTGTTGCATTAATTTAATTTTTTTTTAAAAAACCAATTGTATTACAAGTATGCAGTTTGTCTTCAAATGGCATTATTAATCTTGCATTTCTGATAAATGCACACAATTATTTTCATCATCAGAATGAATTATATTACTTTCAAATCAATTGTTGAATAATCGAATATCCTATTATAGATTATTAGAGAAACAAGGAAAACTATTAATCATTTTTGGAAAATTGAGTTTGTTCATTGAAACCACATAAAATTTATGAAACTATAGTAGATATTACATTTTTTTTTGCATTTTGACCAATATATGGTCTATATTTTAAAAGTTATTTTTCATAATTGAATACCTTCATATTAAAGTCATATGAAACGAGTTTCTTGTAATTATAATGTTATCAAAATTATTGAACCAATGCAAGCGTATACTAAACCAGTCAGGATTCTACTTCATCAAAATTATCTCCCCATTACGCCACCAATTTTTTATAATCGTAAAAATGGAAGCCATTGTAGTGATGACGCACCGTCAGTTTAGCTCTTGAAACCCAATCAGTTTATCCACATAGCATCATTACGATCATTATATGCCAGTTGTATCTTAAAAGACAAATGTATCTACTTTCTATTGAGCATCATTTAATGTACTTTTATGCATATGGTCAATTTAAAACTATTGTATGATCGGTTGTCAGGGGGAATTTTCGAGTGTTCAAAAATATTTTAAAAAGTTCTAATTAAATATTTCGTGGAAGGGCAGACTAAAAAAATTCAGAGGTTGAGGACTAATTACCCTAGATAACATACACAAAAATGATTTTTTTTTTTAAGTTATTCATTTTTAAGATCCACTTGTATAGTCTTGTCAAGTATTTTTTATAGAAATTTATAATTCGAACACACCTACTCTGTTGTTATGACTCATTAGAAAGATATTTCACTTGACCCATATATTTCATTTCTTAGTACTGTAAGTGTTTAATGTTATTATACCAACATATAAAAATAATAGAATCTGAAGCGAGATGATGTATCAAATATTTTTTTTTTTATGTTTTTAAGACATAGTCAACTTAAACACACCTGAACATAAAAAGGAGTACTCAACTTTCTCTTTTGATGAAATTATTGTCCATTTTTGGGATTTTTTTCTTAAAAAAACTGTTGCCGGGGGCAGAGATGTAAATTAATGCTTTAAAAAGATCAATCTATTATCTTTCTTTGTAATTTTTTTCGGTGGAATTTATGCTTATGCACAAAAAAGATCCACATGTATTTGCACATACCCCAATAGACTGTTTTGTGAAAATGTGTCTATAATTTAAAAGTTTACAAATATCTCAACGCTTTATACCATAATTTAAGTAAAAACATATATATAAGATGCATAAAGTCCTAAATTATGCACATTCATTAAATTTTTAAAGCCCATAGAAACAGATGTAAACAATTCAAATTTACCAACCTGTCCTTTTTTACCTTCTCTAACAAAGAGTTCCATTTCTTTTGTTTTATTTCAACTGGGTTTCCGACTTAAACTAATTCCTGTATGCACGTTTTTATACGACCGCAAAAAAATTTTGGGGTCGTATATTGCTATCACGTCTCATGTCTCTTAAAAATTGTACCACATTTTACAAAAAGAAAATGTCTTCAAATGTTATTTTTTTTTGAGGGGGAGGGTCAATTTTTTTTCACTCAAAAATTAAAGAAATGGTCAATTTTCCAAAGAAAAATTGGGGTTCACAATTTATTTTGCTAATTCTTTGTATATTGTCTGTAAACAGATTTACTAAGTATTGCGGAACAGCACAGTGTATTGCACAACAGCAAGAAATCTTCAATTGAATATAAATTCAAATCATATAACCAATTTCAAGTTCTTTGACTACATTTATTCTGTGTCAGAAACCTATAATGTGTCAAATATTTAATTACAATCCAAATTCAGACCTGTATCAAGCTTGAATATTGTGTCCATTTTTGCCCCAATTGTCAGGGTTGGACATCTGTGGTCGTATCCAGCTGTGCTCCGTGAAGCAGTTTATTTACATTTATTATGAATCTATAACATATTATCGAAAATAATATTTCATTCAGTGATTGTTGATCACAAGCTAATCAACTTTCAAGTTTGTTGCCAAAGTTTACCAAATCAAGACATTGATAAACATTCAAATGTGTTCTAGTGGAGCACGTGAAAAATAAGTGAATCTATAGACTTTCAGCATAACATTTAATATAAATTTAAGACTTGGTTTGATTGCCAATGAGACATCTATTCATCAAAGACCAAAGGACAAGGATGTAAACATTGACAGGTCACCATACAGCCTCTATCAATGAGCAAAATTCATGTGTTATAGTAAGCTATGAAAGGATCCAGATAACAAAATATGAAACAATTGTAAAGAGAAAACTAACAGCTAAATTTAAGCATGTGGTATTTTTACGACTCCAATCTTAATTGACTAGGATTGCAAGTTTTCCTGTCAAAGGTCAGTGGTTCTATCCAGGCCCTACAACTTCCTCCACCAATAAAAAGTTGCAGCCATGATACAGCCAATAGGGCTGAAAGTAGTGTTAAACACCATTCTAATATGAAGTCCTTCTTTTACTTTGGAAACAAAGCCATGTTCTAATTTGAATAAAACATGGGCTGCACGTGATTGCAACATCAGTTGTATTAAACAACGCCGGAGATAAAAATGGACAATTGTGTTGGTGTTGTGAAATTAAATAAAATCATTCTAAAAGTAAGTTTACATGTATGTTCATTTTCTATCGTGAAACGGTTAATTTTCTACATCATTTTGGCTTCATCAAATCAAAATGGCTGCCTTTCGAACTTGTGTTATAGGTCCTCTTCAGAGGATAAAAGCTCTTAATTTTCCTATTAGAATCGAAATAATTCTATCATGCCATGCTCTTTGCTACATGGGTAGGCATTATATTTGTCAACATTTTACACCTTGCTAATGCTCAGTATAAAGATATTGACAAATATTATGCCTACCCATGTTAAAATGAGCATAGAGCATGGCATGAAAGAATTATTTCTTAAACAATCAATCAATCTTCCTTAGAAATGTAACATTATCAGCCTCAATGGAAAGATTCTTTTATTTATATATACATGTATAAATAATTAAAATGAAAAGTTTAAAATGAATTAAGTGATAATTGTGTTTCAGAATGTAAAGCAGGGTATAGAGTATTTACAGCAGATGTTATCAGGTCGTTTCAATACTTCTGAATGGGAAGGTGATCAGGATGCTGTTAACTTAGCAAGCATGGGTAAGTTATTCACTCTTTACACAATATCATTTGGGAGCTGTCTGGAAATTATTTTTGGAGTAAATGCTTCCTAATTATTTAAGACTTTGGAGAGACTTTATGATAAAGGACTGCAATGAATTTGTTGATTTAGTGCCTTTAATTTCCTATTATTTCATTGGATGTTGTCTAATGTTCTTTCACTTAACAATAGTTCTTAGTTTAAATCTTTTCATTTGAAAACCCTGTATTTTAATTACCACCTATAAATAGTATGCTTCATTTTGACTGATATCCACTATCAGTTTGTTTACATTTTCAACCAACCACCAGAACAAGCTACCACAGAATCATGAGAACATGCAAAGTCCATTTTTAATGTTACCAGATATCAGTATAAGTCATTGTCTATTTAAAACCCTGACACCTATTACAAATTGGATACACATTTTTGACCATATTAAGTTTCTGTCCTCAAGCAAACAAAAATAATCAAATAATAATAATTAAAGTTAATGAGTAATTCATTATGAAGTCCAAATTATAAAAGCTTAACAAATAGCAAGAATACATTTGACTTTATATGTTCATTTAAATAAAATGATAATCAACAGCTGTTTCTTTATGGTCACACCTGCAAAAATCAGGTCAGTTAACAGATATGTGCTTATTGAAGCAGATGGCCCGACTCTAAAATTTGTCGTAAAAAATTACCTGGTGATAAACTAATTAATTTGCAGGTCAAATAGATACAGTATTTTGTAACAGAAATGGCCAAAATCACAGGGAATTTAAATCATGTAAAGATGGAAATGGGTCATTTAACTTTAGCCACCCTTACATAAACTGCTGTACTGAGTTATAAAGAGAAACAAGGTATCAGTAATGCATCATTATTTACAATTTTTTCTATCTTTACAGGTATATACAGTGACACACTAAGTACGATGTATGTTGGTGAAATGTGCTATTGGTTATGTAACAAACCTTTCTATCTTTACAGGTATATACAGTGACACATACTAAGTATTATGTATGCTGGTGAAATATGCTATTGGTTATGTAACAAACCTTTCTATCTTTACAGGTATATACTGTGACACACACTAAGAACGATGTATGTTGGTGAAATGTGCTATTGTTTTGTAACAAACCTTTCTATCTTTACAGGTATATACAGTGACACACACTAAGTACGATGTATGCTGGTGAAATGTGCTATTGGTTATGTAACAAACCTTTCTATCTTTACAGGTATATACAGTGACACACACTTACTAAGTATGATGTATGCTGGTGAAATGTGTTATTGGTTATGTAACAAACCTTTCTATCTTTACAGGTATATACAGTGACACACACTTACTAAGTATTATGTATGCTGGTGAAATGTGCTATTGGTTATGTAACAAACCTTTCTATCTTTACAGGTATATACAGTGACACACACTTACTAAGTATGATGTATGCTGGTGAAATGTGCTATTGGTTATGTAACAAACCTTTCTATCTTTACAGGTATATACAGTGACACACACTTACTAAATATGATGTATGCTGGTGAAATGTGCTATTGGTTATGTAACAAACCTTTCTATCTTTACAGGTATATACAGTGACACACACTTACTAAGTATGATGTATGCTGGTGAAATATGCTATTGGTTATGTAACAAACCTTTCTATCTTTACAGGTATATACAGTGACACACTAAGTACGATGTATGTTGGTGAAATGTGCTATTGGTTATGTAACAAACCTTTTTATCTTTACAGGTATATACAGTGACACATACTAAGTATTATGTATGCTGGTGAAATATGCTATTGGTTATGTAACAAACCTTTCTATCTTTACAGGTATATACTGTGACACACACTAAGAACGATGTATGTTGGTGAAATGTGCTATTGTTTTGTAACAAACCTTTCTATCTTTACAGGTATATACAGTGACACACACTAAGTACGATGTATGCTGGTGAAATGTGCTATTGGTTATGTAACAAACCTTTCTATCTTTACAGGTATATACAGTGACACACACTTACTAAGTATGATGTATGCTGGTGAAATGTGTTATTGGTTATGTAACAAACCTTTCTATCTTTACAGGTATATACAGTGACACACACTTACTAAGTATTATGTATGCTGGTGAAATGTGCTATTGGTTATGTAACAAACCTTTCTATCTTTACAGGTATATACAGTGACACACACTTACTAAGTATGATGTATGCTGGTGAAATGTGCTATTGGTTATGTAACAAACCTTTCTATCTTTACAGGTATATACAGTGACACACACTTACTAAATATGATGTATGCTGGTGAAATGTGCTATTGGTTATGTAACAAACCTTTCTATCTTTACAGGTATATACAGTGACACACACTTACTAAGTATGATGTATGCTGGTGAAATATGCTATTGGTTATGTAACAAACCTTTCTATCTTTACAGGTATATACTGTGACACACACTAAGTATTATGTATGCTGGTGAAATGTGCTATTGATTTTGTAACAAACCTTTCTATCTTTACAGGTATATACAGTGACACACACTAAGTACGATGTATGTTGGTGAAATATGCTATTGGTTATGTAACAAACCTTTCTATCTTTACAGGTATATACAGTGACACATACTAAGTACTGTGTATGTTGGTGAAATTGGCTATTGGGTATGTAACAAACCTTTCTATCTTTACAGGTATATACAGTGACACACACTAAGTATTATGTATGCTGGTGAAATGTGCTATTGGTTATGTAACAAACCTTTCTATCTTTACAGGTATATACAGTGACACACACTTACTAAGTATGATGTATGCTGGTGAAATGTGCTATTGGTTATGTAACAAACCTTTCTATCTTTACAGGTATATACAGTGACACACACTTACTAAGTATGATGTATGCTGGTGAAATGTGTTATTGGTTATGTAACAAACCTTTCTATCTTTACAGGTATATACAGTGACACACACTTACTAAATATGATGTATGCTGGTGAAATGTGCTATTGGTTATGTAACAAACCTTTCTATCTTTACAGGTATATACAGTGACACACACTTACTAAGTATGATGTATGCTGGTGAAATATGCTATTGGTTATGTAACAAACCTATCTATCTTTACAGGTATATACAGTGACACACACTTATTAAGTACGATGTATGCTGGTGAAATATGCTATTGGTTATGTAACAAACCTTTCTATCTTTACAGGTATATACAGTGACACACACTAAGTATTATGTATGCTGGTGAAATGTGCTATTGGTTATGTAACAAACCTTTCTATCTTTACAGGTATATACAGTGACACACACTTACTAAGTATGATGTATGCTGGTGAAATGTGTTATTGGTTATGTAACAAACCTTTCTATCTTTACAGGTATATACAGTGACACACACTTACTAAATATGATGTATGCTGGTGAAATGTGCTATTGGTTATGTAACAAACCTTTCTATCTTTACAGGTATATACAGTGACACACACTTATTAAGTATGATGTATGCTGGTGAAATATGCTATTGGTTATGTAACAAACCTATCTATCTTTACAGGTATATACAGTGACACACACTTATTAAGTACGATGTATGCTGGTGAAATATGCTATTGGTTATGTAACAAACCTTTCTATCTTTACAGGTATATACAGTGACACACACTAAGTATTATGTATGCTGGTGAAATGTGCTATTGGTTATGTAACAAACCTTTCTATCTTTACAGGTATATACTGTGACACACACTAAGTATGATGTATGTTGGTGAAATGTGCCATTAGTTTTGTAACAAACCTTTCTATCTTTACAGGTATATACAGTGACACACACTTACTAAGTATGATGTATGCTGGTGAAATATGCTATTGGTTATGTAACAAACCTATCTATCTTTACAGGTATATACAGTGACACACACTTATTAAGTACGATGTATGCTGGTGAAATATGCTATTGGTTATGTAACAAACCTTTCTATCTTTACAGGTATATACAGTGACACACACTAAGTATTATGTATGCTGGTGAAATGTGCTATTGGTTATGTAACAAACCTTTCTATCTTTACAGGTATATACAGTGACACACACTTACTGAGTATAATGTATGTTGGTGAAATGTGCTTTTGGTTTTGTAACAAACCTTCCTATCTTTACAGGTATATACTGTGACACACACTAAGTATGTTGTATGCTGGTGAAATGTGCTATTGATTTTGTAACAAACCTTTCTATCTTTACAGGTATATACAGTGACACACACTAAGAATGATGTATGTTGGTGAAATGTGCTATTAGTTTTGTAACAAACCTCTCTATCTTTACAGGTATATACAGTGACACACACTTACTAAGTATGATGTATGTTGGTGAAATGTGCTATTAGTTTTGTAACAAACCTTTCTATCTTTACAGGTATATACAGTGACACACACTTACTAAGTATGATGTATGTTGGTGAAATGTGCTATTGTTTTGTAACAAACCTTTCTATCTTTACAGGTATATACAGTGACACACTAAGTACTATGTATGTTGGTGAAATGTGCTATTGATTTTGTAACAAACCTTCCTATCTTTACAGGTATATACAGTGACACACACTAAGTATTATGTATGCTGGTGAAATGTGCTATTGATTTTGTAACAAACCTTCCTATCTTTACAGGTATATACAGTGACACACACTAAGTATGATGTATGTTGGTGAAATGTGCTATTGATTTTGTAACAAACCTTTCTATCTTTACAGGTATATACAGTGACACACTAAGTACTATGTATGTTGGTGAAATATGCTATTGGTTATGTAACAAACCTTTCTATCTTTACAGGTATATACAGTGACACACACTAAGTATTATGTATGCTGGTGAAATGTGCTATTGGTTATGTAACAAACCTTTCTATCTTTACAGGTATATACAGTGACACACACTTACTAAGTATGATGTATGCTAGTGAAATTGGCTATTGGTTATGTAACAAACCTTTCTATCTTTACAGGTATATACAGTGACACACACTTACTAAGTATGATGTATGCTGGTGAAATGGGCTATTGGTTTTGTAACAAACCTTTCTATCTTTACAGGTATATACAGTGACACACACTTACTAAGTATGATGTATGCTGGTGAAATGTGTTATTGGTTTTGTAACAAACCAGAACAAAGTACTTCTGACTTTAATCCAAAGGTTATAGGACAAGACCTACTATCAAAATATATTGCATGTGCAAAGTCACCAGTTATGTATGGATGGTCAACAGACAAAGCTGAAGAATTTCTTAAAGTTATGTCAACATGAGTTGAATACATATTTATAAGTTGATTATTGTTTTTCCAAAATGATATCAGATACATGTAGGCAAGGCAAGGAGAATATATTGGTTCAATTATAGAATTGATGCAATGATGACAAGAGACAGAGATGAAACGTTGTCATTCCAATAGCTTTTCAAACTTAAAAGCCACTTTTATGTTAAAAAGCTACTTTTATTGAAAATTAAGACGAAGTAGCAAAAATAAAAGTAATAAATGTATATGTGAGTTACATGTACACAAGAACTCTAGATGTATTTTGTTCTTTTTAGCCAGATAATTAATTTGGAGTAGTATGAAGGGTAGGCAAGCAGTTGAAATTAAAAACAAAATCAATTTCCTATCATTTTTGTCTCGCCTTGACGGCGTCAAAAAGGGAGACATAGGTATGCTGTTTCCAGCGTCGGTGGCAGCAGCATCAACAATGTGATTAGGTCTAGTTTATGGTGAACCAATAGTGGTAGGTCAATGATATTTGGTATGCAGTTGTATTAGCATTGGCACATCTCTTTTCCATGGAGATTGTTTAGCCCTGTACCTTCAGTCATGGTTCATTGACTTTGAATATTTGCATAACTTACATGTTAAAGTATTACTATTTTAATTTCAACATTTGCATTAATAAAATAACAAATAGGCGAGACATATCTCTGTGTTAACAGTTTATTTATAATGAAACATTGTGGTAAATGTACTTTGATAAGTTGTCATTCATGACATTATAGAGGTCAACTTTGATCATACTTTTTCACATTTGCCATTCAGGAGTTATGGTCCTTGATTTATTAAAAAAAAAATGCCGCTTTATTTCTCAACCAGACAATAATTTAAAAACCATTCAATCAATATTTATTTTGTATTTTAATGTGTTGTTTTTATGACAAATACAATCTTGACCATTTACTCTTTGTGTTGTTCAGGAATTATGGTCCTTGTTTCCTTTAACAATGACACTAATAAAAGTAAAGGAAAACCCTGTTTGCTGTCAATTTGACAGTCCTGTTGTGTTGTTGGATTACAGTCTCATTGATGTGAAGCCCACATCTTTTTTCAAATAAATAAAATGTCCCGTTTACTATATTTTCTGTTTTCTGTTTTATTGTTGTTTGGTGTATATGTCTCATTGAAAGAAAATAGAATGCTAGGATTTTTTGCCTTTTTGATAAAATATATTGTATGTCATTTGCGATAAAAAATTTTATAATGGTCAACCAAAACAGTGCAGTCCTCTACATTCAGTTGTATTGTCCATTTCTATCTCGCCTTAACGGAGTCAAAAAGCGAGACATAGGTATGCTGTTTCTGGCGTCGGCTGCAGCGGAGGCGTCAACGCTGTATTAGTTTGTGATTAGGTCTAGTTTATGGTGAACTACTAGTGGTAGGTCAATGGTATTTGGTATGCACTTGTATTAGCATTGGCACATCTCATTTCCATGGAGATTGTTTAGCCATGTACCTTCAGTCATGTTTCATTGACTTTGAATATTTGCATAACTTACATGTTAAAGTATTGCTATTTTTTTAATTTCAACATTTGCATTATCAAAATTACAAAAAGGCGAGACATATCACTGTGTTAACAGTTTATTGCCCAAATTAGTACCTTTATGCTGTCTGTCCATACCGGCTTTAACTAATAAACACATTTAATTTAAAACTATGATATTTTAAATAGAACAACTAAAGTAGTTTCTTAGTTTTGAAACAGATAAAAACAACAGTATAGTGAAAGTGCAAACACTTGCTCGAGTCAATCTGAAGTTGTGTTCATGAACATCCCAATATACATTGGACTTTTTTGATGCCTCACAACTAACTGAAAAAGTAAACCTGATGTCTCACTTATCATGACTTTTTGCAGGGGGGACAAACATGGAAAATCAAATATACTGTGGAATGCCCATGACCACAACTCTTTGAAGGGGAAACAAAAATGGAAGGTCATATATACAGAGTATGCCCATGAACACAACTTTTTGCAGGGGAGACAAAAATAGAAAGTCAAGTATAGAGTGGGTTGTCCATGAAAACAACATTATGGAATGTCCCCTGCAAAAAGTTATGTTCATGGGCATTCCACTGTATATTTAACTTTCAATTTTGTCTCCAGTGCAAAAACTCGTGATAAGTGAGGCGAGACACAGGATTTACTTTTTATACGACCGCAAAAAATTTTGCGGTCGTATATTGGTATCACGTCGTCGTCGTTCGAAAACATTTGGTTTCTGGACAATAACTTAAGTAAATGTAAATAGAAATCTATGAAATTTAAACACAAGGTTTATAACTACAAAAGGAAGGTTGGAATTGATTTTGGGGGGTTATAACAGTTTAGGAATTAGGGGCCCAAATAAGCATTTTTCTAGTTTCCAGACAATAATTTGTGGAACGGTGTCTGAAATTATACCACAAGTTTCCATACCACAAAGGGATGGTTAGGATTGGCTTTGGGGGGTTTTGGCTCAAACAGTTTAGGAATTAGGGGCATAAAAGGGGGGAAAAGCAAGAGGTGATTTTGAATCTGTTCAAAGTTTTGATTTTTCTACCCTATATACCACTTTGCCTCATATTCTTATTAAGAAAAAATTCACACACCTAATTAAATGGGCATCTAAAAAGTCGGAATGCGAATACATATGTTCAAACTCTTTTAGGTCATTTTTTAGTAGCAACAAACAAAAGAGCTATGTCAATTGGACATGCTTTGATACTATATCTGCCCTTGAATTTTTACTTGATAACATTTTTGTTCGCTTTGGAGATTCCGTATATCGTCAAGTTATTTGAATTCCAATGGGGACTAACTGTGCACCACTTATTGCGGACCTGTTTTTGTATTGTTATGAGTTACAATTTATGACTAAAATCAGCAAAGACCCATCGAAACAACATCTGGTACAAAAATTTAACAATACTTTTAGATATTTGGATGATATATTGGCTCTCAATTATGACGACTTCAGTATGTTTACTAAAGAAATTTATCCTGTTGAACTTACTGTAAATAAAGCTAATACTAACAATGACCACTGTCCTTTCCTTGATCTTGATATCTATATCATTAAAGGGAAGCTTAATACAAAAATTTATGATAAAAGAGATGATTTTTCATTTCCTATCGTTAATTATCCATTTTTAGATGGTTACGTTCCCTTGTCACCATCTTATGGTGTTTATATATCTCAACTTGTACGATTCGCTCGTGTATGTAACAACATATTAGATTTTAGCGAGAGAAATTTATGTATTACTGAAAAATTATTACACCAGGGTTTTCGATATCATAAACTAGTCAAAACATTTACTAAATTTTATCATCGGTATAAGGACATCATTCGTAAATATAACTCAACATGCAGACATCTTATACGTTCGGGTATTTCACATCCAATCTTTTATGGTAATATTCTTAACAAAGCACAAAAATGTCAGTATTCACCTCAAAAGCTAACAAAACCTTTAAACAGACTTATTAAGAAGGGATATAGTTACGATACTGTTGTAAGGTCATTAAAGATTGCATGTTTTGGCTTTAATATTGATTCACTTATAGGGTCTTTGCATCGGAATTAAACATATTTATTCTAAAACCAGTTGTTGGCATGACACGGGTTATGTTCTTCTCATATATTTTATTATGGTATAATACTAAACCCCTAACAGGAGGGATTGTGCCTGATATTCATATGATGAAGACATAATCTTTTAATTAGTTTAATTGAGGTCTGGAGCTGGCATGTCAGTAACTGCTAGTAGTCTGTTGTTATTTATGTATTATTGTCATTTTGTTTATTTTCTTTTGTTTCCTATTCTGACATTGGACTCGGACTTCTCTTAAACTGAGTTTTACTGTGCGTACTGTTGTACATTTGTTTTTCTACATTGGCTTGAGGTATAGGGGGAGGGTTGAGATCTCAAAAACATGTTTAACCTCGCCGCATTTTTGCGCCTGTCCCAAGTCAGGAGCCTCTGGCCTTTGTTAGTCTTGTATCATTTTTAATTTTAGTTTCTTGTGTATAATTTGGAGTTTAGTATGACGTCCATTATCACTGAACTAGTATACATATTTGTTTAGGGTCCAGCTGAAGGACGCCTCCGGGTGTGGGAGTTTCTCGCTGCATTGAAGACCCATTGGTGGCCTTCGGCTGTTGCATGCTCTATGGTCGGGTTGTTGTCTCTTTGACACATTCCCCATTTCCATTCTCAATTTTATTTCCTGGTTAATGGACAATTAAAAAAAAGTGCAATGTTATGTTTGGATTACCTCCCTTACACTGCTTTTAAATTATGTATAAAGAAATGTTGTATTGTCTTGAGGTGATTGGCTGTCAATTTATTTTTAGAAGTTACTATTTTGAAAAATGCTGATTAAGGAATATTAATTTTAGCCATGATTTTGTATATCATTTTCTATTTTAAGACTTTTATGATGTATTTGAATGGGTAATTATGGTTGCAAACTCCTTTGGAAATTTGAATTGAGATTATGACCATATCTTAAGGGAAAGATTTTTTTTTTGGAAAAGGGGGGGGGGGGGGGGGGGGGGGGGGTGAAAAAAAAAAGGTTGGGGACAATTTTTCTCATTTATGATTTCAGAAATTAAAAAGAAATTTCTTTCAATTTTTTTTTTTTGCAAAAAAAGGGGGGGGGGGGGGGAGGATTGGGGGTAAAAACAGTTTTTTTTGTTTTTTTTGGGGGGGGGGTAAAAACAGTTTTTTAATTTATTTTTTTTGGGGGGGGGGGGGGGGTCAATTGCACAAAAGCAAAAAAAAAAGGGGTAAATTTTTTTTTTCGGGGGGGGGGGGGGCGTTTCGCAACAGCATAGTGTATTGCACAAAAGTAAAAAATTGAATATAAATTCAAATCGTGTAACCAATTCTTAGTTCTTTGACTACAGTTATTCTGTGTCAGAAACCTATTATGTGTCAAATATTTAATTACAATCCAAATTCAGACCTGTATCAATATTGTGTCCATTTTTGCCCCAACTGTTCAGGGTTGGACCTCTGCGGTCGTATCCAGCTGCGCTCGGCGAAGCAATTTATTAGTTAGCTGTGGCAGTGTCAGTAAAAAAAGTAGGAAAAGATACCAAGGGAGCATAAAAAAACACATAGGTCAAAGAAAATTAGACCACCATGGACTAAAAATAAAAACAAAATGCAAACATCATGCACAAAACACCACACAGAAAAATAAAGAATAAGCAGTAACACCACAAAAAAAACAAAGTTGAAATCAGGTGTCCTGGATGAGTTACCAGTTCCTGCTGCACAAGTGTCACCTATCATACTTAATCCTGGCAAGTTAAGTTTGATGATAAATTCACAATTAATGGAAAGACATTTCGAAAGTTGTGTTCCTTGGTAGCTACATGATATATAAGCTTTAGTGATCAGGGAAGGTTTTCAGGATAAGATTTCCTTCTAAGTAACAATGCATGATGACTCAACCATATTTCGTATGCGGATTGGTTGCAAGGAGTATATTTCTGTCATATATAACTCGTATGTCCTTGACCTCAATTTGAAATCCATTGGTCAGGTTAATTTTTCAAATACATGTATGTCAACAATATTTGATTAATGGATCGATTGCAAGACATATGTGTTCATCTGACATGTTTCAAATGGCCTTGACCTCAAGTTCACACTTCAGTGGTCAGTTTAAAGTTTACATGATCAGGTATGTTCTTCAGTAATGAACATGAAAGGTCAACAAGACTTGGACTGTACTTTGGATTCAAAAAGTATATTCTGTCTACCATATGTAGTATGCCTTGACCTGAATTTCATCCCCCTATACAGTGTATTTAGGTGTTTTTTTAGATTAAAGTATGGTTCTCAATAACTGTATACAATAGATGAACAATATATGATATGTGGACCGGTTGCTAGTAGTGTGTGTCTATTCTTTACAATTTGGCCTTCATCTCAATTTCATGCTCCAATGATCAGGATAATTATTAGAATGAGGTTTGTTCTCTCTGATAAACAAAATAAGTTGATTTACTGTCTGGTCTTGAAATTTTGACTTGATCTATATAAGGCTGAAGTGATCAGCCGGAGTTTTCAGGCTGGGGTCTTTGTCCTAGTACCTATGCATGACATGTCAACAATATTTGCTATGTGAATTGGTTGCAAGGAGTGTAGGGAATATTTCATATGTCCTTGGCCTCAAATTTCATGCAACAGTGAAAAGTTTTCAGAATGAAGCCTGTTTCTCGGTACTTTTACATGATGTGTAAATATTATTATGTCTGTCTGACATATGTCATGACCTTGACCTAAATTTCAGGGTGAGGTCTCTTCCTCAGTAACTTGACAATGTATACAATAGGTCAACAATATGTTGTGTGTAAATTGATTGTAAGATGAATATGTACATGTATTGTTGTCTCTTTGACACAATCCCCATTTCCATTCTCAATTTTATGTGATCATAATGATATTTGGTTTTTTCTTATGATTAGGTCTGTTTCTCAGTAACAATGCATGATTCTTCAATCATATTTGATAAGTGGATTGGATTGGAGGAGCGTATGTCAGTCTGATATATTTCATATGACCTTGACATCAATTTCACGCTCAAATGGTCATGTTAAGTGTTCGTTATTTATTCCTCCTCAGTTTCTATACATTAAAGGTCTCAGTATAGGCTGCGTAAGTTAACGCAAGGGTCTATATTATTAAAATATAATTAATTGGTTAATAGTTTAGCAGGAACTATTTGAATAAACGTATTCAATTTTGTCTCTCTTATTTAATACAGTTAAATTGAACAAACACCCATTTATTCTTATTACCCAATATGAGCATATATATATATTACATTTCCTTAAGTATTAGTATTTTATATTTGTTTTTCAGGAAATGCCTTTTCAATTTTAAGATGATCGTTATATATTTTTTCCAAAAACTCAGTTGTTGACATGTCACTTCCTTTGGATGGTAACTGTTTATCTTTAAGAACACACTTTGAGTATATGTCTACTATAGCTTTTGCAAACTTTGAAGTTAATTCTTCATCCTCAACCATATGAGCTCTCACGGTTCTGGGTATTTCTAATTGAAATGAAGGAATACCCAGACACACAGATTGAGTTGTCATGGTATATAAATCTCCTCCCCAGTCTCCACATAACAGGGGGTCCACATTTATTGCATATTTCATACCTCTTTTCTCGTATGCAGGGTCCTGGAACACTTGTGTAAAAGCAGAATGCGTTTCCTCTTTGAACATATCCACAAACTTTGTGCTATGCCAACGAGTTTCCATTGCACGAAACCCAGCGTCTACATCCATATTACTTTTCCTATCTTTTTTCCCGTGAATATCAATATGAAATATTGGCATATTGTTTTCTTTGCCGTAAATTTTGAATTGTTCCAATGCTTCATGCCAAGGAGACTGGATAAACTGTTTTTCGGTCAAATAATTCGGATCTAAATTCCTAAAATCTGCCGGCATTCCTACTTTCCTATCCCATATAATAAAACTTGCAGGATAGCCTGTATATTTGCTGATATGAATTGCTAATTTTAGAACAATTTCAGTAACATAGATTTCTCTATAATGTATACGGCGCCTTCGACCGTCCGTTCCACCTCTCCAGATTTTCAAACCATGAGGTGCACTAAGTAAAATTGGACCATTAAGTCTGAACATGCAAGAATTATTCCCTGTTATTAGTTTTGGCAGTGTAGGCTGGACAAATGTTCGTTCAGTGCAACGACTGCTTGCCGATTTCTGTTTACAAGCTTGACGAGATGTGCTATTTGCTGAATCTGGATTTCCGTTTATTTCGATATTTTTCAATTTTTTTGTGCTATTGTGGTGTTTGTGAAGTATATTTCTAGAATCGATATTTTGTAAATTGATGTTTGAAGTTAAGTTTTCTCTTCTATCGTACTTTGCAGAATAGCGATCTGATGAGCTTCCGGTGTACCGAGAAGAACACGTTGCTCTGGAAAGGGCAGAAGTTTGTCTGAGTATATTTTCAGATAAATGTGGAGATGTTGGCAGAAGAGTTTTCTTTTTGCTGCTTAAAATTATCCTATTAAGAGCTTGCCGCATTTCTTTCTGTATCTTTGATTTGGTGAACGACTTGATAACAATATAATCAAAACAATTTTCGTCTGTTAATCCTGTTTTAGGAGAACCTTTTCCTATCGTATCTCTTGACCGACATCTTTCCGCATGAGTTAAAATTTTGTTGATGATACTTTCTGAAGTATTTTGTCTGTTTTCGATTCTTAATTTTTCTAGTGGTGTAGTCACTGAATTTTTATCTTTTGATGTTGTTTTAATGTCAGTTTTACCGACATAAGATGTTAAATTTCCTTGAAGTTTTGGAAATGTTACTCCCGGATAACTTGAAACCCTTGCGACATGCGGACTTTCAAAAAGAATAGGACCCTTTGTTTGATATGAAGTAGAATGGCCGAAGGTATATTCCGTGACTTTAGTTCCAGGTACGGTATTCGGTAGATGAAACTGCTTTCGTTTACACGAGAGAGGCCTTCCAGAATGATAATCTGTTCGGATCTGCGATAGACTTCGGGGGCCTAACCAGGTGTTGGCGTTACTGATGGATGGCCTCTCCCCCATTGTCGTCATACAACATTGAATCTAGTTGTTGCAGTCACCATTTGTTATGGTTTGAACTGAAAAAAAATATTTAAAATTATTCAAGTTGATTGAAACTATTAGTGTTGCTATTAATGAGCAAATATCATATTTTACAATATGGGAATAGCTGTCTGCTATAACTTTATTATTCCCAGATTGTTATACAGAGTTCAAACAAATATATAGAAGCAATCAATTGTAAAATGGCTTCTTGTTACCTGAAAATCAAACGTGTATAAATTTCTCAAAATATTTTAAAACAAAAACAAAAAACAGTAGTTCTCGAAGCCAGGCTTAATTGAAACCTAGTGATTATTTGTCAATTTGCTATGATGCAGTTCTTGTAGGATAAATTCCGATAATTTCGAATTCTTACAGGGAAAAACTGCTAACATTAACTAAACGTGTTAAACAAGTTGCTTTATTTATTTTGCAGAAACTGTAGTAGTATCAATTGTATGCAAAAATGTCAGGTAAACAATAAGGCTAACCTGGGCCTCTAAGGACCTATAATTTGAATTAACCATAACTTGATAATTAAATCTATAGTATATGTTAGATTTCGTCTCTAATTTGTTGTCGTTTTCCTGCATATGTGTGATTGCATGCATATAGATGAAGTAGCACAACCAACATCTGAAAACGAAGTCATCTCAAACTGGTACTATTGGTCGTCATGACATTGCAGAAAGGTGTGAGCTATTGCTCCATGTCAATCTAATTAAAATATATATCTCTGATTTCGTTATGCTCATATGACGCAAGTTACGATAGATCTATATTTTGATTAGATTGGCTCCGTGTTGAAGGCTCAGCTTATTTTGAGATGAAGAACAGTAATAAAAGTGTTGTTCCTTTGCTTTTGTCTAGGACAAATATATATGTATTACTGTAATAGTTCTAGCTTTTGACAAGTGCGTTTAGGAATATTGAGTCGTGAATAAATACACCACATTCCTTCTTTTCTACAATTAAGTTTCAAAACATGCAGTGAATTCATTCAAGAATTAGATATTGAAAGGTTACACACGGCTGTCATTCGGTATATCGAGAAAAATTATCGTGAAAGAATAAGTAACGGTGGTAAAGTATTGCAACTGGACCGTGAAAGGTCTGGTATAGGATCGTGAAGGGAATCTTATCGAGAAGTCACATGCAATGTCAGCAAATAATCTAATTTAATCAATTATGCCAAAATGCCATACAGACATAATTGGTTAACGTGGCCATATCTGGGATCAAGCAGCCAAAACTGTGAAAACATACATCACAACTTAATTTAACGTTCAAGCGCACTCACAATTATATCAAACAAACCACCAGAAAAGTTTTTGTAGTTGATATAATACAGTCAGTGTAGTAAAGCATAATTACAGAGCTCCTTAAGTGTTATGTAAATATAAATATTTTCGTCTGCCGGAGATTTAATCTGGTGAGCACCAGTTTGAAAAATCGTGCACACGACTTTGAAACTCGTTCGCACGACTTTCAAACTAGTGCGCACGACTTTCAAATTTGAAATCATCTCGCTTGTCATACACTCTGGTATTGAGATGACCGCTGTAGTTAAATTCGGGGTATATGTCTAAAAATGAGGCAGAGGAAGCTGTATATGTGGTGCCTGTGTAAGACATAATAGTGTCCTGTGAAAAAGTGTCCACCTGGACAGTTTTTCATAGAATTTTGGTATTTAATAATGTCCATTGCCATGAAATATTGTCCCTCAAGTGGACAGATTTTTACTGCAAAAGTTATGAAATAGTGTCCACCCACAGGACAAGTTTTCATAGTAGTTGCTATTAAATTGTGTCCCCAAGGGAAGTAATACAAAGGTCATTAAAAAGTTTTATTATACTTGAAATTTTAATAAAATCAGAACGATTGAGTAGAAATTGATTTATATAAACAAACAAATAATGGTTGGATGTGAATATAGAGATATTTAAGTTCTAAGAAATACCCAGCTAATGCTAATGACAATGAAAGAAGAACAATAAGAAGGAAGTGTATAAAGTATAAAATCAAATGCGAAGAACTTTACTATATTTATTATGAGAACAAGTGGACAGAATTTTACAGCAAAAGTTATGAAATATAGTCCACCTACAGGACTAGTTTTCGTAGTAATTGTTATCAAATTGTGTCCTCCAAGGAAAATAATATTGAACAGCATCTGTTACTTGTTTGAATTTAAATCATTATACATGTATATATATATATATATACATGTATATATATATATGTATATATATATATATATATTAAAAAATAAGAAGATAAGGATGGTATGAGTGCCAATGAGACAACTCTCTGTCAAAGTAACAATGTATTAAAAGTTAGCAATTATAGGTTAAAATACGTCCAGTAATAACAGGGAAATGGATATCATTTAATACTTTAATCCTAATAAAAAAATGTCCTGGCGGACATAATGTCCTGTGAAACTTGAAAGGTCCACCTGGATAGAATTATAGTATTAAATATTGTCCATGTTCATGGACACTTTTTCATACCTGAGGACATATTTGCATAGGAAATTGTGTCTGGGACACATTTAAATAAGTAAATATTGTCCATGGACAGTATTTACTATGAACCGGTGGACATTATTTCATTGGGGACATTATTGAATCCTACACCTGTAGTCACTAATTCATGACAATTAATGGGACCCAATCAGAAAAGTTTGTATTGTTAATGGAAAGAACATCTTTAATACACATGTATGTAAAATTAAATGATATAGCTTCTTTGATCTAACCCTTACGAAAAAGAAAACGTACACATTAAGATATTTTCAGGTGAAGACCACCAGACCCCTTTGTGGATGCATTACGCATTTTATATACAAAGATATTTACTTTTCGACAATTTACGCTACTGGGGGTATTATTATCTTGAATGCCTAGTTACATGTATCATTGCCTCTTAATGAAAACAGGTCTAAATATGGGTATCTATATATATTTCACCAAAAAAAATAAAGTAGAATTACACTTAATTGCATTCACGATCCGATACCAGATCTTTCACGATCCGATCGCAATGCTTGACCACCGTTAAGTATTCTTTCACGATCAGTTTTCTCGATATACTGAATGACACCCGTGTTACAGAGGAAAAGTAGTATGACATGCCTTGGTATCGAAATTATTATTGGATCACGTTTTATAGCATAGCTTAAACCCTACGCTTAATAACTAAGATTAAACCACTAAATTGTTTGATGTTTTAAAGGTGAAACTCTTCCCTAATACACTTTGCTTCAATTTATTGGTTTAAACTGAGGTACATTTCCATATGTACATTAAATTTCTTTTTTATGACTTACGTTACTTAGTCAATTTACATATCAGCAAACTTTGAAAGGTGTAAATATGAGTTAAAAAAGAAAATATTTGTTCTCAAATATTGTTTTAACTTTGTATTCTGTCACCTGATCGTGTTAAATGTCAATTTAAAATGCCTAAATTCAAGATGTCTGAACTAGTTATGTCTACTGTAGGGAAATACAAAAAAATTGTGTCACTCTAAATTTTTTTGTCATATCTAACTTATAACAGCAGTGTCCGACGAATGTTAAGAGAATTCGGTGTTATCGCACCCATGTTATACTTTTGTTTTGAGCTTAGACTGTTCTGAGTTAAAGGAACATGTGTCGTTATGGGTCGATAGAGAATCCTGAACATTTTATATGGTGACTAAAAGCTTAAATTTACAAAGTTTTTCTGAATACACATGATATACAGCATTAATTTTACTTTTCTACCAGTCGATTTGTTGATATATAAAACATACAAGAATAGAACGTGTATACGAGTATACGCATTTTCATCCATTGGGAAGTAAATCATGCTGCGAAGAAAAGTACGCGATATTCATTTTCGATGAAATAATGATAATTATTTGTTGAAGGGCCTTACCTTTTTTGTCCGTGCTACTATTTCATGATCTTTTCATACAAATGAATAAAAAGAAAGGATAATTTATCAATTGTTCCGTTCCATTTTAATAGTAGCAGTTAGTCCTAAGTTTCAACCATATCTAATCACGTTCATTACTCTTGTTCAGACGGTGTATAATAATTTTAAGTTATATTGTTGGGACAAGTTTATTAAGTGTAACTAATAAGAAGAAACAATGACACACTCGGTTTCATAAATTAAAAAAAATTGTAACAATGAAATACATTAGTTATTATGTATGTGACAAAAAGTTTTCTTTTATGACAAGTTTCACGGGTATGTAATATTGTTTGATCGTTGGGGCAGAAAATCGCCTTTCAGACGATTTCAAGGCTTCTGACCTTTCAAAATTACATGACAGAATTAGTTTATTAAAAGTTAAAGAAGTGATTTAAATGAAAGTAAATTGTTTAGCAATTTAGGACCAGGGGAAAAATGTCTTGGCTTTTGTATATAAATTGGCTTTTCTATGACATCAATTTTCAATTTTGCAAAATTATTTGAGGTTTTTATCTTAAAACGTAAGTCTGAGTATTCAAAAATAAAAAAAAAAAGAATATATTATTTCTTAATATATGACAGGAATAATCATGTTTTGTCCAAAAAGAATGGAAATTGTTGGACTTTGACAAAATACTGTACAAACCGTGACAAATCATGGTTTTTAAGAAATAGAAAATCATCGTACATCAATTGAATAATACTGTGAGTGGTAGTAGGAACAAGGCATTTTAGGATAAGATAAACTTAATTTTACAATTTCCTATACTTCTTTTATAATTTCCTTCATAACGTAGACTTAAGCATATCGAAATGAAATTCTGAATGTTTTTGGAATACAAGAGACACGAATAATTGACAATGACTATAATTTTCACGATTAAATTTGTAAATTCAAAAGATGTAGTATTTAAAAGTAATGTGTTTTTGATAGTCTTTGTTAAGTTTATTCACAACTGTGTTAAACGCAGGCGATTTGGAACTTAACATGTTGTTTCAGAGCCAATAAAGTCTTGTCTATTTTCTATTTTCTATTATTGAAGACCGTATGTTGACCTTGTACTGTCTTTTAATTTCCTTATCATTGGGTTTCGTTGAAGTTTCCTTCACATCATTTTTTATTCATCATATTATAAAAAGTAATACTTTACTTTTTCCAGTCGCTCATAAGACTTCAGTCACACTTTACACTTTGAAATTATTTTAAGTCAGACTGGCGACAATTTTTAGGGTTGCAAACGTAAATCTAACAAACCTAACAAGCGGTCTATAAGTGACATATAGAGAAAACTAGATTTACGATACCGAATTATTTGTTACATTCAACGATCATGTTTTATTAGTACCTAATTTTTTCCAGTGATGGTTAAGACTGAAATCACATTTTCTCTTCTTCCTTAAACCAAGGATGTACACTTATACTTCCTTGCTTAAACTATTAGAACCTTATCATTTTTTTATCAAATATAAAAGCTAGCGGCTAGTTTGTCTTGAAATTGTGTCCTATACTTTTTCACCAAATCTTTATCGATTGAAAACATATCTGCTTTAATAGCTGATGTAAGAACTGTTTTTCAAGGTCAAATACAGTATGTAGCATCAAGTAAGTAGTGATGGGTGTCCTTCAAATGTCCCTTGCTTCTTGCTAGTCCAATAGCAACCATATTTTGGGTTTTGCATTGATATTTCATTTAAATCTCCTCTTTCAAAGCTACAAGAAAGTTTTTTCCAATATCTCTTAAATTGTCCTCATTAAAACGTTCCTTTTTCATCTATTTTTTTTTATTTAAACAAGACTAGTATAATCTCGTTTCTCGTAGATTTTTATCGATGAAGTTTGGCATTGTCCGTTGAAATATTAAAATCTTTAGATTAGAATGGTTGCTATTGTCGTTAAAATTGAGAATGGAAATGGGGAATGTGTCAAAGAGACAACAACCCGACCATAGAGTAGACAACAGCCGAATGGGTCTTCAATGCAGCGAAAACTCCCGCACCCGGAGACGTCCTTCAGCTGGCCCCTAAACAAATATGTATACTAGTTCAGTGATAATGGACGTCATACTAAACTCCAAATTATACACAAGAAACTAAAATAAAAAATGATACAAGAATAACAAAGGCCAGAGGCTCCTGACTTGGAACAGGCGCAAAAATGCGGCGGGGTTAAACATGTTTTTTGAGACCTCAACCCTCCCCCTATACCTCTAGCCAATGTAGAAAAAACAAACGTACAACAGTGCGCACAGTAAAACTCAGTTTAAGAGAAGTTCGAGTCCGATGTCAGAATAGGAAACAAAAGAAAATAAACAATATGACAATAATACATAAATAACAACAGACTATTAGCAGTTACTGACATGCCAGCTCCAGACCTCAATTAAACTGATTGAAAGATTATGTCTTCATCATATGAATATCAGGCACAATCCCTCCTGTTAGGGGTTTAGTATTATACCATCATAAAATATATGAGAAGAACATAACCCGTGTCATGCCAACAACTGGTTTAAGAATAAATATGTTTAATTCCGATGCAAAGACCCTATAAGTGAATCAATATTAAAACCAAAATATGCAGACCACAGGTTCACATATCTTTTGATAGTGAACTATTTCAAAGGTCCATGTCCATGTTTCAGTAATCAAAGAACTTCAGTCCAGATATGAGATCTTATAAATGGAGCCCAGAGTCTGACAAAATTTAAAACGGGATGATTTGTCGAATTTTCATGCACATGGATTCTTGTTTTGTATGTGTAGTGTTTTCTTTTCCAATGATTCTGTTATCTTTTATGACTAATTTATTTAAAAAAAAATGTTTTCTTTGTCGTTAAAGTGGTATGATTTTGTAAGCTACCATTCTCTGCACATGTTAACACGATATGCATTGTACGTGTTTCTGTGCCGAACAACCAAACTGTTGGGAAGTATTTAAGTAATTGTCTTTTGGTATGTTTGCCTCTTTATGTAAACACAATAGTACATATATACATAATGTATTACATTTTGTAATTTAAACATACTACATGATAAAAAGGCAATAACTTAGATGAAATATAGGAAACATTAAACGAATGTTCGGTCTCTTTGGTCATTAAATGATTTAAAAGGTCGAGTCTATAATTAGTTTACAATCTTTTAAATGTTTGATTGATTTAAATACATATACAAATATATAGTTGATATGAAATGAATTCTTTGCTATAGATTTCAAATATTTTTACATAATTGAAATGAAGGTTATTTGTACTCACATCTATGATTGTTATGAAATAACGTTAATCACTTAAATCCACATCAGTACTATTCTACAGCCTTTCTGTCGCTTAGCACTATACTCTCATTTAAAGACTTTGAAATTGGAACCTGTTCCGCTTGACTCTGTTTTGACTACACAGGTGTAAAATATCACTCAATCTTTAAAACAATTTTCATTTCTGCGGTTAACTAAAGTATTAACATATTTTACTTTGCAGTGGCCAATATCACAGACTCATTATTTTTCATGAAGAAAAAAACCCAACATTTCGAAACATTTGGTTAAAACAATTGCCTGTTCTTGTGGGAGCAATCTCAAGTGGCCGTGTACTTTTATTGTTCGTATAATAAGAGAGAGGCGTTATACAAAGTTTAATTTATTGTATGTTGCTTTGATAAAATGAAGTCTGACATTTGGCATGATGCCGATTTGGTTAAAAATCATGAACTGAATCCATATCATGTAATCAAGCTTGTTATTATGACCTATATTGCATGCTCCATTAAAAATGCTCGCCATCATGATGAATCCGAGGTGTCACGAATGTCCTTGGATATCACCTGATGAGTGAATGGCGTTTTGGCCTTTGTTGTTCTGTCTTCAAACAATATACTAATCCATACAAAAAGCTATACTAAGGTCCCTTTAAATAAGTAATATTCTTTTCGTTTTATTGTCTCGGCTGCGACGAAAGTCGCGAAAAGCGAGATATAGGTGTTGTTTTTCCGGCGGCGTTGTCGTTTGCGACGGCGGAGGATGCGTCAACAATTGTTAAGTTTTCTGCTTAAGTTAGTTTGTTAGGAACTACTTGATCAATGACATTTTGTATAAATTTGCATTACTATCAGTACATATCAGTTTGCCGGCGACTATTTCGAGTACCTGCCCCTAGGTAAAGGTCCAGCGACTTCCAATTAATAAACAATTTTCAATGTTAAGTTTTCTGCTTTAAGTTATTTTGATAGGAACTACTTGTGATATATAGATTGATGATATTTTCTATAAAGTTGCATTACTATCAGTACATATAGTTGACGACTATTTTGAGGTCCTGCGACTCTTTTCACAAAAAATCTTAAGAGTAAAAATACTCGTAAGTCATACACATTTCAGTATAACTTACGATCAATTTTAATCGTAAGATTTTTTTGTGAAAAGAGTTGCTGTTTCTTAGGGCATGGTCCAGCGACTTTCAATTAAAAAGCAATTTTCAATGTTAAGTTTTCTGCTAAAGATAGTTTGATAGGAACTACTTGTGATAGATCAATGATATTTTCTATAAAGTTTCATTACTATCAGTACATATCAGTTTGACGACTATTTCGAGTCCCTGTCCCTAGGTCAAGGTCCAGCGACTTTCAATTAATAAACGATTTTCAATGTTAAGTTTTCTACTTTAAGTTATTTTGATAGGAACTATTTGTGATAGATTAATGATATTTTCTATAAAGTTGCATTACTATCAGTTCATATAGTTGACGACTATTTTGAGGTCCTGCTCCCTAGGGAATGGTCCAGTGACTTTCAATTAAAAAGCAATTTTCAAAGTTACGTTTTCTGCTAAAGTTAGTTTGATAGGAACTACTTGTGATAGATCAATGATATTTTCTATAAAGTTGCATTATTATCGGTACATATAAGTTTGACGACTATTTCGAGGCCCAGTCCCCTAGATCCTGGTCCAGTGGCTTTGAATTAATAACCAATTTTCCGTGAATGTTAAGTTTTCTGCTTAAGTCAGATTGATAGGAACTTATTGTGATAGATCAATGATATTTTTTATAAAGTTACATTACTATCAGTACATATCAGTTTGACAACTAATTCGAGGCCCTGTCCCCTAGGTTCTGGTCCAGTGACTTTGAATTAATGA